CACCTGACTAGTAATGCAGGGGTCCTGGGTTCGATTCCCGGTCCAACCATATGTTTTTCATTATATATATATATATTTATAAATTTTCAATGTATATTAACTCATTCCTCCTTTCCATACTACATATTCATCTACCAGAAAGAGAAAAGGGACTAGGGAGAGTATAATTGCCCATGGATCTTCCATATGTTAACATACTCATCTTTATGCATCCGTTTTTGAATTAGCAAAATCCACAGGATTTTGTGATACTTTTGGGTCAAATTAAGATTTTTATGTGATAAAATCTATCAATAGTGAAGCTGTTAATACAGTATTCATTTAGACATTGACCAATCAAAATTACTTTTCACAAAACCCAAGGTTTATAATAATGATCTTTGTCACAACTTTAATTCGAAGTTCTAACAAATCACTTTCAAATATTAAGTTGAATGTGTTGAAAAGACTAGAAATATGTCCATAGGTCATGAATGCCCCGCCGAGGGTATATTAGTAATGCAACATTTTAACACAAATTGAGAAAAGTGAGGTCAAGGTCAAAGGAAAGGTCAAGGTGAAAAAATATTGATGCAGTTGAATAGCTTATATCAGTATGTATCAGCATATGAAGTTTGACACTAATTTAAGAAAAGTGAGGTCAAGGTCAAAGGAAAGGTCAAGTTCAAAAATTGTTGATGCAGTTGAAAAGGATACATCAGTATGTATTAGCATATGAAGTTTGATAAAAATATTATGAATGGTTTCTTTAAAACTGAACTAAACACTAATTTAAGAAAAGTGAGGTCAAGGTTAAAGGAAAGGTCAAGGTCAAAAAATATTGATGCAGTTGAATAGCTCTCATCAGTATGTATCAGCCTATGAAGTTTAATAACACTATCTTGAATGGTATCTTTAAAACTGAGCTAAACACTAATTTAAGAAAAGGTCAAAGGAAAGGTCAAGGTCAAAAATATTGATGCAGTTGAATAGCTCAGCATATGAAGTTTATTAGAAATATCTTGAATTGTTTCATTAAAACTGAGCTAAACACTAATTTAAGAAAAGTGAGGTCAAGGTCAAAAGAACGTTCAAGGTCAAAAAATGGTGATGCAGTTGAATAGCTTACATCAGTATGTATCAACATATGAAGTTTGATTACACTATCTTGAATGGTATCTTTAAAACTGAGCTAAACACTAATTAAAGAAAAGTGAGGTCAAGGTCAAAGAAAGGTCAAGGTCAAAAAATGTTGATGCAGTTGAATAGCTTACATCAGTATGTATCAACATATGAAGTTTGATTACACTATCTTGAATGGTATCTTTAAAACTGAGCTAAACACTAATTTAAGAAAAGTGAGGTCAAGGTCAAAAGAAAGGTCAAGGTCAAAAAATGTTGATACAGTTGAGTAGCTTACATCAGTATGTAATAACATATGAAGTTTGATTACACTATCTTGAATGGTATCTTTAAAACTGAGCTAAACACTAATTAAAGAAAAGTGAGGTCAAGGTCAAAGGAAAGGTCAAAGTCAAAAAATGTTGATGCAGTTGCATAGTTCTCATCAATATCTATCAGCATATGAAGTTTGATAAAAATATCTTGGATAGTTTCTTTGAAACTGAGCTTTGAACAGAGCAAAACGCAAAGTGTGACGGAAGGACAGGCGGAAGGACGGAAGACGGACATGACAAACACTATATGCCCCGGCCATATTCATGGCGGGGCATAAAAATAACAGCTACAACATTATCACAGATTTTATTTTAAGAAAGTTACCCTGAGCAGAACAAGAGTAGAAAGAGTCAATAAAAGCTGTTAATTTACAATAAAAGCTGTTCATATTAAAAAATACCTGAGTTTGTATGAGACAATATTTTTTTTGTGCATTGTACATAAGATAATGTAGACATACTTTTTTTCCGTGTGGTATAAATTTACGCTATGTAATGGCAATCCAAGAAATCTGCATTATTTTTCACCTGCAGATTGAACAGAATTTAAGATTCTGCGGAATTATGACCCCGTGAAATCTGCATTATTTTTTCACCTGCAGATTGAACAGAAATTATAATTCTGCAGAATTATGACCCCGTGGAAAAAAGTACAGGTACATTTACAGTATAAAATCCATGAGTTAAATTACAATTGAGTTAAAAGACATAAAAATCTGATAAAAATTTGGATAAGTAAAATACATATAAATAAAATAAATAAATAGGTAGATACACATGTATCACAAATATCATAACAATACATGTATTTTGTTTGCTATAACTGTCGAAGTACAAATCAACAAGTACAAATGTAAATAACTTTGAAAACACTTCATGATTTTTTTCTCACACAAAATAGATTTTAAAAAATCAAAAACACTAAATTGAAATATTTTTAGGCATGGTTGTGAGTATATATTAAAAAAAGAAAATGAATTTGTTTTAATTTTCTTATAAGATACTACAGATTTGAGTATTGTGAGGTTTACAAACATTTTCATTCTCCATGGTCAGAAATAATTAATCAGTAGTGTTTAGACTATATTTCCACTAACGTACACACATGATGCACTGCATAAAATTCAATAAATGCAATTTCACCTTTCAGGGTTAGTATATAGGCAAATATAAACATGTATATACTCACAAAATCAACAAATCTAAGTAACAAATTTTACATATCTATAAAGCACTATTTTTGCAATTTGAAAGATTGTATACATGCATGTGTCAAAAACATAAAGAACTGACTTGTTGTCAATTTACCATGTTTACCAGTGCTTTATTTATATGTGAAATACCATCTCAGGCTCTGTGCATAACATCGCATTACCTTGGTAACTTTTCAGAAAGAGTTTTCTATGTAAATAGTTGATTAAAAACAAAAATAACAAGGCCATCCCAAGTTTTTTCTATGTTTAGCGTCCGCGTGCGCCTTGGTTTTTGACACCCCATGTCAGAAAAAACAAACAGAATCAGGGACCAAAAATTCATTATTTTGGTCAATTTTTTTAATTTCTGCCGATCTCTCTAAATTATTTGTAAATAATATGACATAATTGTAATTTTAAGTATTTAGTACCTCGATTTTGCTGAAGAAAATAAGTTGCTACATGAAAAATAAATTAATGAAATCAAATCCTTACGTCATTTTTATGACTATAAAGTCTGTGTTTTATTTTTTGGCTTGTGTGTGTTTTGCGAATAGGTAGCTAGGTTTTTGAAAGGTGGGTGGACGCTAAACAGAGAAAAAACTTGGAATGACCCAATGTGTTATCCCCTAAATTCAATAAAAAAACAAAATCACAGATTTCAACTGATAATATCAAAATAACACTATTTAATAACAAGAGGCCCAAGGGCCTTAATGGTCACCTGAGTATAAAACAACAATCCATAGAAGATCCATAGAGTATAAAATAAACTGATAGAAAGAGCTTTTGTAAATCTTTGATTGTCCTTTGTGGCCCCACCCTATCCCCAGAGTCCAGAAACATGATTTGAACTTGAATCTATACTACCTGAGGATGTATCCATGTAAATATATCCAATCATGGCTTTGCTGTTCTTGAGAAAAGAATTTTTTCAAGATTTTTCCTACATATTCTAATATAAAACTTTCATTGTCCATTGTGGCCCACCCTACCCCTGGGGATCATGGTTTTAACAAACTTGAATCTACACTACAGAAGATGTTTCCACATTTCATCTTTCTTGGCCCAGTGGTTCTGGAGAAGATTTTTTCAATGTATTCCTATGTAAAACTTTGATCATCCATTGTGAACTTGCCCTACCCCTGGGGGTCATGATTTGAACAAACTTGAATCTAAGCTACCCGAGGATGTTTCCAGATAAGTTTCATTTTTCTTGGCCCAGTGTTTCTGGAGAAGAAAATTTGTAAAGATTTTTTCTATGTATTTCTATGTAAAACTTTGATCATATCAAAATGACTAATCATGGCTTTGCAGTTCTTGAGAAGAAATTTTCCTATAAATTCCTATGTAAGACTTTGATCCTCCATTGTGGCCCCACCCTACCCCGGGGGTCATGATTTGAACAAACTTGAATCTACACTACCTGAGGATGCTTCCATATAAATATGACCAATCATGGCTTTGCTGTTCCTGAGAGGAAGATTTTTAAAGATTTTTGCAATATATTTCTATGTAAAACTTTGATCGTCTATTGTGGCCCCACCCTATCCCCAGGGGTCATGATTTGAACAAACTTGAATCAACATTACCTGAGGATGCTTCCATATAAATATGACTCATCACGACTTTGCTATTCTTGAGAAGAAGATTTTTAAAGATTTTTCCTATATATTTCTATGTAAACTTTGATCATCCATTGTGGTCCCTCCCTACCCCGGGGGGTCAGGATTTGAACAAACTTCAATCTACACTACCTGAGGATGCTTCCATATAAATATGACCAATCAGGGCTTAGTTGTTCCTGAGAAGACGATTTTTAAGGATTTTTCCTATATATCTTTATGTAAAACTTTGATCCCCCATTGTGCCCCTGGGGGTCATAATTTTAACAAACTTGAGTCTACACTATCTGATGATGTTTCCATATAAGTTTCATCTTACCTGGTTTAGTGGTTCTTGAGAAGAAGATTTTTAAAAGATACCATTAATTTTTCAAATATTCTTAATTATCTCCCCTTGGAAGAAGGCGTGGCCCTTCATTTGAACAAACTTGAATCATCTTTACCCAAGGATAGTTTGTGGCAAGTTTGGTGGAAATTGGTCCAGTGGTTCTTGAGAAGAAGTCAAAAATGTGAAAAGTTTATGCAGGACGCACACCCGCACGCCCGCACGACGAAAACAGATAGCAACAGGTCACCTGAGTGACTCAGGTGACCTAAAAACTATTTAAATAAATCTAACAATATCCTTATCTATGTGATGATTGGAGGTACTGCATCAGATTTATAGTTAATAGACACAGTTTTATATGAAAAATAAATTCACATAATTTAAATTATTTCTATATAGGAACTAGCATGTGTACGTCATGGAAACTTGCATTGTGTACATACTTATACATTGTATATAAATGGCAATTTTCACTGAAAATAGCTTACGTATATTCACCAGTACACTTGATTCCACCTAAACCAACACCTGTGCATTTCCACATGATAAGGTGAATCCTATTTTCCTTGTTCTCTCTAGTCATGTGATGAATAAAATGGCTGTTTCCTTTTATTTGGAATCGGAGATGGACATCTTCTCTGTCATGTGTTGGATGATATCCACCATTACATCTTTGGGTAGAGATGTGAAGTTTGGCTGTCGGACAACCTCATCCATTTTTGATCTCATAAATCCCATGGCTGCAGTCATCAAATCCTCTGTAAAGAGAATTTAGATTTTTGAAAATTTTTGACTTAAGTAAAAATATGAGGTCATTAGCACATCAAAGTTTCCCCATGGTAATTGTTATGGCTGCATGTTCTTGAACTTGATTTTAAAGAAAAAATGTTACGATTTGAGTTCAACTTTTGTGACTTCTCAGTGTTGCATTGCAAACCTGATGCAAAATACTACTGGTATTATATATTGCAAGATTTACTTAAAGATATAAAATAGATAACAAACACTTTGAGAATGCAGCAGTAAATTTATTTTGTTTATTTTAACAAAATAAATTTACAGCTGCATTTTCACGAAGTGTTGGTGATCTGTTTTATATCTTTTAGTTTACAACTTTAGGTATAGACCCTATTGAATACCGTTCGGTATCCACACGTGAGAATCTTCCACAATTTCAACCTCAAGGTGTTGGTCTCCAGTTTTTCTTTGTTTTGTATTGCAAGATTTAGTTAGAAATTGTTCCATGTGATTTTTGATTTTATAACTTATACATGTACTCCATAGCAAAGCTTTACCTAACTTTAGTATTACAGCTTATATATCAGTACCTTATATATAAAGTATTCTTAAGAAACCTAGTTACCTGAAAAGTTACCTGAGTACAATGTTTGTTACCTATCATGGGGAGTTTAGTTATTACCTATCATGGGGAGTTTAGTTATTACCTATCATGGGGAGTTTAGTTGAGGCCTCTACGTAAATGTCCACCACATTCTCCGTATTGAGGTTGGAGCAAAGGTTGATGAAAGCTATTGACTTCAGGCCATCAAGACAGAACTGGTCAGCAACTACAATGTTTTAAAAAAAAAAATGTGTAGTTCTTACCCTGAGCCATTAAACAATATGCCACAGCATTAGATTTCCTGCAATATAAATGTGTCCTCATGATGCAAGACACTGTTAAAAGAATACATAATATCATTCACTTGTGTGTATTCTTTTGAAAATTTTTCCTCTCATAATATTATTATCCTGACTCTAAAGGGCACATTGAAACAAGAGACCTTAAAGGCCTTAAATGCTCATCTCAGTAACATTAGTTTCTTAATTAAGGAATGACCCAACTTAGCTGCACCTGAAAACAAGCTTCAAAATCATGAAACAGACTTTCAAAATTTCAATCATGTTGGATGTTTATCAATTTTGAATTGAAATTCTAAATTTGCAGGTAGCAGCACTTTGTTGGTGAAATGTTGAATAATATTTCTCTTTTTGGACTACTGTAGAATCCTCATTATTCATGATGGACCAATGTTCATGGATTTCATGGGTCACCCTTACCCATGAACGATTATTTTATCTACGTATTGTTTCACTGTTAGTATTAACCATATAAACGAGTAACCCATGAAATTACGTCCCCATGAACCAGTAAAATTTTGTTTGCCCACGAACATTGACCCCCCACAAATGATTCCACAGTATTTGACATTCACATCATTTCAGTGCAATACATATACACATTTTGACTTGCATGAATTAGACAAACTAGTAGTAAGCTGTTTTCAATTATCATCATACAGTTTGTCTGATTTATGATCAGGAGTATGAGAGATTTATAAACAAATAATGAATTTTTATCATAGGACCACATTATTGGAATAAATTGTAAATGAGATTGGTTTTAAGGTTGGGATTGATTTGTTTTTGATATATTTCTTATTCCTTCTCAATGATTATTTGCACGTAGGCATATTTTTCATGAAGCACTAGCGCGCTTCATGAAATATGCCTATGTGACAAGTCTGTGTAATTTACACACCAATAACTCACACAAAACCTAAAAACATTCCTTATATTTACATATTACATGTTCAAAAGCACCAAGAATATACCCAGAGTTTGAATTATTCACTGCCCTATATCGTTACTTTTTTATTAACGTCTCTGAAGCTCATTGTGATGTCACTTTAGGGCGAGTTTCTCCATGCATATTTCTACGCATGAGTATACATGAAAATGGCATTCAAATCAATTTCACAGTTGGCTTAGTAGAAAAACATAGCAAATGTAAATATAATGTAATAAGTCTGACAGTGGATTAAAACACTTGAACGCTATTTAAAAACTAAGAGTGCTAGCCTCTATACCTCTCCATATTTCTAGCAGTAGAAGGCAGTCAGAATTCTGGTCAATCTCATTGGTGTAAATAAAATGCAGAATTATTGCAAAAGCATCCGCACTAACATCCTTCAGTTCTATTGGCTCCTATAATTAAATAATAATCCAGACTAAATAAAGATTCAAACAAGGTAAAAAAAATTCTTAAGGTTCATTGATACACTGCCCGCAAGATATGCCAAAATTATGTGCATTTTAATTATAAATTAGATGTCTTGCGGAAAATCATAAGTGTTGAAGTAAAATTTTATAACATGAGCTGAGGGATCATGAACCTTAACTAAGTTTAAAGACTAACTGTATATCAGGTAGTTTAAATTTAAAAACCAACTCCAAATTTAAAAAAAATTGGAACGTGCATGTTTTTGATTTTAATTATCTAATTGATAAAAGACATGTATGGACTTTGCGTGAAGAAAAGCAGTATCTATAAACCTGACACTATATAGGGGTGCAGCGGGTCACTTACTGTGGAATCATTTCAATTTGAGGGGGTCAATGTTCATGGACTAGCAAAAATTTTATTGGTTCAACATAATTTCTTAGGTAACTTGTATACAAATGATTCAATGAATAAATTTGTTGACAAAATTAACTGTTTGGATGTAAATTTTGTAGGCAAGGGTGACCCACAAAATCCACTAACATTGGTCCCCCACGAATTATATTGATTCCACAGTATTACATATAAGTAGTACAAATGAGCTGCTAATAAATGATACCCTTTTATGATTGGGTATGGATATTGTGTTGAAATACATGATAAAGTAATCTTTCTGAAAAAAATAATATTAAAATATCATAAACTTTATTAAATTACTTACCTAGCTTAAGTATTCAATCACACAGATTTCCTAATATTACTGCAACTTTAATGCATGCATTAAATGCCTATCTCTATAAGAGTTTGTCCTTGACCAAACCAAACCATTACATGAATTCCTTACAGTTCCCTAGTTTATTTGATGTCATCCTGTATTCTTAGTAATAGTTTATCATCAAATCTTATGTGTGTAGTGATTTATGTTTAGACTTCAGTTAATTCCATCCTTACATTTGCTCTACTCTCCCTCATTTGGTCACAGAACATGGCCCTGAAGAAGTCTGAACGGACAGTCAGTATAGCCTTGTGACCATGGAATATTCTACCATCCACAGAAAACTTGACATCACTAAATAGGTCAGAATTGACCAGCTGACCCATATCTTTGGACAACTGTGCTGGCATCTCTGGCAAATCTGTAACAATAAAGTCCTTGAACAATGTTTATTTAATTTGTGTGTAATAATCACTTCATATTTGAATGTGACCAAAGAGACATGAACTGGAAAATCAAATGGAGAACTTTTTTGTAAGTTATTTGTTAATGTTGAGGTTTTTCTTTCTAATTTTTTAATTGTGTAAACAAAATATTTTTTGATAAATTCACTCATTTTATTGCTGTTCATCTGTTCTTTTTTCATTTATTGAATTTATATATAATGTATACTATATAATCAAATATAGACAGCCTTACCAAAATTAAATTTGGTACCGACCATCTCAACAGCATCAATCTCCACCCAAGTTCCAGCTGCGGTGCAGTCTACTTCAATTCTTAATTCATCTACTTGATAGGCAGGTTTCTGGTAAAATAATAACATAATTAAAAATACCAGAGTTATAAATATGTTTGGGAAAAAAAGGCTAGGTCTCCCACAAAAGAAATTTGAGGAATTGTATTTCATAATTTTTTTCTGAATACTGTACAATTCTTACCAAAATACGGATTATGTTCAGAATTTCAATAGCTGCATGCACCAACTGTGCAAGTTTTGGCTGATATACAGATAGGCAAGATAAATTTCTGTCTCAAATAGTATGCCTTACTTTCCCATTTATCTTTGTGATATTGAACATGCAGATGTAAATATCCTATGCATACATGATTTAGTAACATACTTTAAATCTTTATTTATGTATCTACAATGCATGCCAAATTGTACTGCTTTCCTTAATGGTAAAATGTTGTCACAGAGATAATTTTTTCATGACGTAAAAAATATTCTTTCTTAATGTACCTGAATAGGTGGAGAAAAAATCCTGCTTTTCTTCATACATGTTACATGGTTGGCCTGATAAATTGTCTCCCATTTTCCTGAAGGATTTTTTACTTTGACCCTCTTTGTGCCTCCTGAATGGTAAGTCTCATAAATATTGACCTCAGTCAGATAAACTTTTTCATGATACTGGACCTGAAAATAAATTATTAGTATGGCTAAATTGTAAATCTAAATTGATGATGCTCAAATAGCTGTTTGAAAGCATGTTTTTGAATGACAGTAAAATATTTTGAAAAAATTGCAAATGGTTACTTTAATCCAAAGATAATAGAATCTCCCCTAGGAATTCTCAGAGAGAGGCTCACCTCAACAAACTGATTGGCATCAATATCCTTGCTTGCCCAGGCCCCGTGGAGGTCTCCATGTTGTGGGTACACTCTCGGAGGTCCAACTACAGTGTTGGCAGACCAACTGTTTGTAAGTCAATTTTAATTATCATTGTAAGAAATATTGTAATGAATGTTCTTCAATGATCTGTCACAGATCACATATCTGTCAGAATGTGGACTAATTTGGGTCACAGAGACTGCACCCTCTTAATAAAAAGAAAATTAGAAAAATAAAAAATTTTCAATATTTATTATTAATCCATTTAAAGTATTTCTGAGAGATTTTATTCAATATTTGATGAAAAGACTTTGAAAGCACCTGACCCAAACCAAAATGGTATCCATTAATAAACAATTTTCTGGCCTAGGGGAAAGGGTACCCTACCAGAACCACACCCCCGCCCCTTCTAAATTTCCAGAAACCCTGGTAATGGCAATATTATTAAGCACGTAAAAAAAATATGAAATATTCACCTGCTGGAATTGTATTGCGAGGAAAAGTTTTTAACTTTTGCTACAAACTGTCGAATCTTGTTGATATCTTCACTACACTGAGCCATGTTGATGGCTGAAATTTGCTGGAAATTTCACCTAAAATTCACACAACAATTATTTAACTAATGTATCAATCATTCAAGGTGAAAGAATGATGAACTTTTATTCAATAATGTGCAGTTTTTGAGGAGTTGGAGTGCTCTTTGTTGGTATTTTGAACTTAGCTTATGCTTTTTCATGTGGCGACAACAAGCAACAAATTATTTATTTTTAATACAACAGGTCAAGTACAATCACTCTTTTGTAAGCAATAAATATACAATTTTTCCAATGGGTGGCACAGTAGCTCTATGGTCGTTCATCTCATTTTTTTTCCAGACCAGCAAGCTATATTCTCTTTAGAGAAGTGGACAGGCTTTCGCCTGGGCGAAAGCCTGTCCACTTCTCTAAAGAGAATAAGAAAGCTACAGATCTGTAGCTTGTCAAGGTACAAGTGCAATATCAGAGAGGATCGTCAGAGAGAATTAGAAAATCTTCGTCTTATCAAAGGCTTTAACAATAGTTATACAGATTGTTCAGAATTGCTTACTTTAATACACTTGCACTGATGACGGATGTACATCAAAATAATGATGACAACAGTTTGTTTTTCCAAAATATTGCGCAACCATTGCATACAAAGTAGATCGTTCATAAAATTATTCGTTAGACTTCCATGTCCAACTTTTAAGAAATAAACAAACTTTGTTATCTTAATATATGTTGTATAATTTCAGGTCCCTCAAAAAAGGTAAATCTATCAGAATTAGAATAAATCATATCATTTGAAATACGATTATCAATAATACACAAATTGATTTTCTGTACAAATTAATTTGAACTTACTAGGGTTTGGGTAAAGGAAGATAACATGTAACATGAGGTACCTGTCTTAGTTTCCGTAATTTGGAGCATCGATTCAACAGTATTCACTTTTCTAACGTTATCTTCTTTAAATATGTCTTGTATATATTTGCATTAAAGCTAAAAATCATACACATACACACAGAATGTTGCAAAAAGGTCAATTATTTTTTTTAGAATCCGCAGCTTTTGAAATTGTTTATTAAAATAACGATATGAAACAGAGAGAAGTTTGTAAGTTTACTATGTAATGTAATTTCTGAAACAATAGCTTCTTCCTTAAAACATTTTTTCTGCATCAATATTTTCTTAATAAAATTTTAACAGGTGCAGACTAATGGCAAGTAATATTCAGAAAATTCCTGCAATCCTACACTTGTGTTCAGACTACATTGTGATTGACAAGCCGTTTGACTTGCCCATCAACAGTGATGACCCCCACATGGTAACTGTGGAAACATTGTTGAGTAAATATCATCCACATCTCAGGGACCCCACAGTCAAACATGGATTCAGGTTAAGAAACAGTGTGCACTTTCCAATGTATTTTAGTTTGGAATGTAATATTGAGATGGGATGTTTTAACCTATAATAAAGTTTAGAAGTCTGTCCCTGCATTTAAAAAATACTGCTGTTTATCATTTAGAATGTACCATAGACAAGTCTTTGAAAACAAAAAATTGACAATATCATTTTTGCACAAACATGACAAATACATGTTATTTAATAATTTTTTTTAAATCCAAAACTGTTGTTTGTAGTTCTTCATCTATAATTGCAGATTCCAGCACAGGCTAGATTTGGCAACCAGTGGAGTGCTGTGTTTGTGTCGCACAAAGAAATCTGCAAAGAAACTGCATAATGAATTTCAGAGACGATCTGTAGTAAAACATTACATTGCCCTGGTAAGGAAAAGGTTGTATAACAGTGTCTGACCTATTTAATTAAAATAAGACTTATTTAGATACATTTATATATCTTTCTTTCAAACTTTTTGAAGTAAAAGTGTGTTATTTAAGTTTAAGTTAACCAGCTCTTTCTTAGTCATTTAACTAAGTTTATCTAAGAGAAAATTTTTCTTGCCAGTAACTGAAAATTCTGTGACATGCGTATGGCACATTTCAAAGGTGTATGGGCATTTAAAGAGTGAAAACCTGACACTGAACATCGCTATCGGTGAGGACTCGTCAGTGGAGGACATTCACAAGATGTGTACTTCTGACTCAGAAAGTTGTGTTGGTCCCAGAGAAGCCATCACTGAAGTAACACTCATGGAAAGGGGCACTTACAACAATCAACCTGCCAGTAAAGTTTTACTAAGACCTCACACAGGTCAGTTTACTTGTACCGTATTTAGCTTTTCTTGCCTAAATGAAAATTTAATTCAATTGTTCATATGTCTGTTTATCAACTCCTCTTAAATATGCGCTGCAGTAACTTAAGTGCTGTTTGACGAACACATAAAAACATACATGCAAACACATTTCGTGAAATATGCCTTTGTGTAAAGTATCATACCTTCATGAACTTTCAAGACTAAAATACATTTCTTAAATTTGAAGACATAACTGAAGTAAATGTCATTGTGAATTATGTAAACCTGAACTGTGCAAAAAAGACAGAATTTCTTAAAATTCTAGAAATGTTTCAATTCCAAAAGAGACATAAAGAGAAACTTTACAGCAAAAAGAATTTTTAAATCTTTGTGTTCATTTGGATGATTCTGTGAACAAATTTATTTAAAATGCATGCAGATTTTCACAAGATGAATAGGGCTAGCTGACATACACATTCTTAGCCTGATTAAATTTCTACTAGCTTCATCTTTATTAATTTTTGTGCATGCTGCATTAAAGGGGTCATCAAAGTTTAGATAAGACTGTGTATGAAAGGTATTTTGATATTTACTTCTCAAGAGCAAGATGTTTTTGTGAAACTTTGATGCTCCCGTAAGGCAGCTTATGGCGTAGGTTAAAGTTTCTCAAATGCAAGTCAAACTCCAAAGTCAATGTCAAGAGATCAAAAATGTTGTTACCCATAGAAAGAATACATGTCAATGGATATACCAGGTAAATATGAAAGCCCAAGCACCAACCATTCAAAAGTTATGGTCAAGATTAATGTTTTCTAAAAGTCAAACTCCAAGGTCATGGTCAAAGGGTCAAAATAAATTGTACACAGGGGAAGACCTTGTCATAAGAAATATACATGCAAAATATAAAAGCCCTAGCACCAACTGTTCAAAAGTCATGGTGAAGGTTAAAGTTTTTCAAAAGTGGGTCAAACTCCAAGGTCTAAAGGTCAAATTGTTTGTATCCAAAGGAAGGTCTTGTCACAAGGAATATACCTGTGAAATTTGAAAGCCCTAGTGCTAACTGTTCAAAAGTTATGGCCAAGGTTAAAGTTTTTTTAAAAGTGAGTCAAACTCAAAGGTCAAAAGGTCAAAAATATTTTCACCCGTGGAAAAGTCTTGTCACAATGAATTCACATGTGAAATATGAAAGCTCTAACACCAACTGTTCAAAAGTTATGGCCAAGGTTAAAGTTGGGTAAATTTTTGAGAAAGTGGGTCAAACTCCAAGGTCAAGAGGTCAAATATGTTGGTACCCAAAGGAAGGTCTTGTCGCAAGGAATACACATGAGAAATATGAAAGCCATAGCTCCAATCAATCAAAAGCTCTGGGCAAGGTTAAAGTTTTTGCGGACAAACAGACAGACAGATGGACAGGGCAAAAACTATAAACGAATCTTCGATTGCGGGGGCATAAAAATAGGACCACAATGGATGGAATTAATGTGCCCACATCCCTCTGTCATTTACAACACATAGCCACTTTTAACTCTGTTACATATTGTTTGTTTTTTTTTTTTAAAGAATGATCACTTTTCCTTCTGAAAATTTCCAGGTCGCCCTCATCAACTGAGAGTTCATTGCAACCATATTGGACACAGAATTGTGGGTGATTACATGTACAGTAATAGACAAGACATTTTGCCATATAGGATGATGCTTCATGCTACAAGACTAATCTTTGATGGACTAGACATATTTTCAGAGGATCCATTTACACCTACTACTGATAATTTATGGAAAGCAACTGATGTTTTAAAAACATACAGCAGTATATGTTTGTAAAAAATAATTGTCAGATATATAAAATAATATAAGAAGATGCATATTGATTTTTTCATATATTTAATCTCTGAGAAAGTGAGAAATGTTTGGTATTAATATTTTATGTATCCAATACTCAGAGGGGGTCCAGAATTTCTGGAGGTAAAGATTGGGTGGAAGACAAACAAAATTCTATTTAAGAGCTGTTGTAGTGGTTTGCTAGGTAATAGCTTAAGTTGGTTAAAATATTGTTAAAAGTGCAGTACTATAACTCATTCTTCAAGGACTACTAAGGTTGCTATTATTGCCAATGTTTGTTTCTTTTCTTTTTTTGGGGGGTGGGGGGGGGGTGGGGGGGTTAAATTTGGTTCTAATTATAACAATGTGCACATGCAATGCAATTGCAAAATTGAGGTTGCATCCACCAAAAGCTTTATAGGTTACCTGGTAAGTTAGCAGACTAGTCTCCAATAATCATGTCAGGGATATATTTTTTTTAATTCTTACATTCTGTTGTAGCAAGAAGTAAATACATTACTGCGCAATATATTTAAAAACAAATGGAAAGATAATTTTTTGCATTAATCATGTTCAACTTATGTAAGAGTTATGGTTCTTATCATATTTGATTTGTATTTAAATGATTGGCAGTGCTGAATGGAGTGATTAGAATTAAACTAATTATTATGCATGAAAACAATGTGCCTTTTAAACTTTTTGTCTACAGAACAGATAGACACTTATAGTCTCTGGATTAAACCAGCATGTAGAAGCCCCCCCCCCCCCCCAAAAAATGTACCTTAAATTATTTGTCTCAGATTTTTATTACCAAATACATTTTTAAGAATACACTATTTGGTATACCTTTTATTTGTTTTTCTAAATAAGCAATTCTATTAGCATTTTCATATTTATGTTTTTGGGGGGAGGGGGGTGTACAAAGGATTCAAGGTATATTTTACTTGCGTTTTGCGTCTGCTGATCATCTTATTTTCCTAGTTGATACCAAATTTCAAGGTCGATTTTAGGTCTTTGAAAATATACTATCTTTTTCGCATATCCTCTCTTTTTTCTGCATGCACCCCCCTTTTCACTTCTCACAGCTGATTTATATTGATAATAAATATTTGAACTGCTACTGTTATTTGATCTTATGTTTTCAAGAAGAGTACACTATCAGTTTGTCTGTGTGACAAAATTTAAGTTTTTCTGTTAGTTTTCATCAATTCTTTTTACTTTAGTGGATCAAGGAATTCTTGGTTACGAAGTGTCGAAACTTAGAGAAATAAAAAGAAACTCGTTTTAATCTTCCAATGAAGTGTAGCAATCGTAATTTTGAGATTAGTGAACAATTTCAGTGCTCGTCCTTTTAATCTTATCTGGTCAAGGGCTGTCATCAAAGGCCATTCGATACCCACTTGAGGGAAATCAGGTCACAGTTAACGCTACGTTACGTCAGGCCCAGCGATTGGCGACTTCCGAGGTCTTTGATGTTCCATACAGTTTACAGATAGTTGTAAGAATTGATATGTATCCGCCACTGGTTAAAAAGGGATTAAACGGACCGCGAGGCTCTTTGCATGCAGAGAAAATTTACTAAGAGTTGGTGGTGTGAAGAAATTGCGCTTTATTGATTATGTGGTCCCCCAAGGATACACTTGCCGCAAACCAAATCTAATGCTTTGACCTTATATTTGCACTTATTACTACTATATGAAAAGAGAACGTGTTAAGTTTCAAATGAATCCCTTGATAGACAATTAATACAAATTTCCAATTGAAAATTATGTGCATTTTCAGAAAATGTTAAATTTTGAAAAAAAAAGAAAAGAAACTATAATTTCTTTTTTATTATAAAGTTAAAAGTGAAATATTTTAATCATTTAAATTTTGATTTGAATTTAATTAAAAGATAATAAAAAAAAAAGGAACTTTGAGAAACCATAATTTCTTATTATCATAACTCTCTGATAACGTGTAGAAAAAAAATAATTACTATATTAGATTAAACATTGTCTAACGTTTTTCATATTATTCCTAGAAAAAAATTCAACAATGACTTCATTTAAACTAGTCTTTACAAATCTCTGTCGGTAAACATCAAAGGCAATTAACAAGGTGATGTAATAGGCGATTAAAAGAAGGAGTCTTTGAAGCCGCTGACAAAGAGATCTTTAGTAGATTGTTCTGCCTTTTGTAAACAAGCAAGATCTAAACACGAGCATTTGAACTCTTGTTACAAATAAAATTATTAAAGAGACATATTTTCACAAAGTTTATTAGTCATATTATAATCGAGTTCACTCAGACGGCATTCCCTTTGAAGTCCAACGTGTTTTGATCTGATCACAAGCCATCACGGACTGATAGATCTATCTTTTAATCATTACTATTAATGCTGTTTTCAATTTCCTTAAGATTTTTTTATGGATCTTCTTCAGCACGCTCAGTCTAACGTTTTTATTTATTTTATTTTTTAAATTTTGGTAAAAAAACATGTTTGTACAGAAAGTGGCTAGAATCATCAAACGATTGTAATAATCCCTCTGTGAAATCTTATAGGATCTGTGTTAAAATACTTGTAAAGATTGAATAAGCATTATAGCACTATTGTTCTATGGTCTGCAGGTCCTAAATCATTAGAATAAACAGACAACATACGTCTTTATACCAATATTTCTTTGTGAAACATATTTTGTATCTATCGAATCTTTGTGAAAATAGCGATTTAAATAAGACAAAAATGATCAAAGATTTCTTATTCTCCCAACTTAGTTTACTTCGGAAGTTTGAAATCCTTTGAAAATTTATTGGGGGTGCAAAGATCAATTACATTATATGTGAATGACTTAAACCCAAAATATTTCAATTCCTAAAATTTACATGATTCTTTTTATATAATTTTCGTGTATATATTTATTAAAATAAGCCGTATTTTGGGCTTATTTACAAAGATTTTATTTACTTGCTTAACCTGATCAACCCCATTAAATAGACTAGCCCCAAGATATTTCTGAATGTTGATTCTATCTGAAAGCTGATTGGTGCGGTACATCAAAAGAAGTGACGTCACGGTGTACAATCCTGCTGGATCGCCGCATGTGTCTTTGATGTTAAATATTCGAACACTTTTAAATAAAAAAATATCGTGGACGCCATTTTTTTTAAGAATTCAAGTTGATTATGACATCGAATAACTTTCGGCAAGGTATGTGATACTGCACAAAGCTGGTCAACTGTGTATCAGAGTTTACGAAGTTAATTATTTTGGAAAAAGGAACGTAACTCCGTTCGTATGCTGTATCAGATCACACAACACGGAGTAAGTTCATATGTGATTTGTTTACCTAACTGGATTACTCTCATGGATTTTATAATTTTTACTTTATGATGTGTTTTGTGTATAGAGGATCATTTCGACTTATTTCAACGGAATAAGTGTGTTCTTCAACATTCACGTGTACTGAAAACATTATTTATCGAGAGGTATTTTGTGTTTAGATATTCACGAGGTCATCTTTTAAAAGAACTTGGTAATTTTGAGGTCTATAGTAATGTAATAAACACATGCATATTGCATAACGTAAGATAAACACAAGTTTTATGATAATAGCAGGTGCTCGTTGTACATGTATTTTTGTTTCATGTGTAGTGTAAGTTATGGCCCTTTGTGTGCCCCGATTTGCATAGGCCGTAATGGCGGCGATTAAACTTTTGTACTCATAAGATATATTTTTGAGTTTTCGGGTGCTACTGAACCAGCATCGTGAGTATTTTATGTAATTTATATGTGTATTGATGAAAGAATTATTTAAAAACATGAATATTATATGTGAATTTCGATAAGATAATGTAGAATTGGCATGGCTTCGTCGCTCAAAAGAAAGAGGTCACGGAGAAAATGTGAATGGCTACCGAAATGTTTGTTAGGAATTCGCTTTTGATATCAACATTTATTGATTAAAGTGATAAATTTTCTATAGATTGAATACGAATACAATTATAAAAAATGTTTAAAACATAGTGGCTCTTAAAAAAAAACATGTAACCGAGGTTTGTTATTTGTTGAAAAGGTAACTTAAGCATGCACACTCTGATAGACTAGTGCACTCTTTGATACACAGTGTATTGAAAGCGAGGAAAGGCGAATCATTTTGCAAATTGTAGAATCAGCATTTTAGTTTGATATGGGTTCAGGTTTTAATGATTGATGCATTTGATGGAATTAATCATCTGCGTGCCATGAGTAGGTGATATATTTAAAAATTAAGAATAAAAAAGAATGTGAAATGCATTATTATTATTCGGTCGGCATGAGTGAATTTACAATTAAGCTGCTAAAAAAAAAAATGGTAATGCCCTTTTTAATGTTTTGATTTATTTTTTTGTATTTTTCAAATTTCTTTTTTAGATGAGATGAGAGTAACTCCTCTCCCCCTGTGATTACCACTGGCAGCATGACAAGCAACAAAGTTTGTCAATTTCTGAGTGAGTCTGGGGGGAACAACTTCACTGAATCTGCGCCACGCCCTCCTGTACCAGGGGAGGAAAATGAAATAGTGTCGAATGGTGGCATGTCTACCCGTTCCAGTGAATCTATGAAGAGTCATGTGTCCACAAAGTCCAACAAAAGCCAAACATCCAATAAGAGTACTACATCCAATCGGGACTTGACAACACATTCTCCGGCAGCCACACCAAGGCGATCGGCAAAAGAGAAATCATTGTTCTTAAGTGGTTGTGACACTGAGGAGGCCCCCTTGGGCTTTGAGCCTGAAGGGAGTGACTCAAATTCTCCTCCATTTCATGAAAATATGGAAAATAGTTCAACTCCTCCATTCATGAGATGGGCAGAAAATCTGACATATCTTTTAGATGATCGTGATGGATTATCTTTGTTCACTACTTTCTTGGATCAGGAGGGATTCGGAAAGAACTACGTTGAATTTTATTTTGCGTGTGAGGGCTTGAAGAAAAGTGAACTTGAGAAAGTTCCACAGATTATTAAAATCATAAATAGGAAATATTTCAAAAGTGATAAACTACCATGTGTGTCTGAACAAACAAAGTGTGCTATTCAAGAAAAAATTAAGAGGCAGACTGTGGACAGGACAATTTTCGATGGTGCCCAATTAGAAGTCAGAAATGAAATGAACTGTCAAAGCTATCCTTTATTTATAAAAAGTGACCTGTATGTGCAATATATTCAAAAAGGAGGGGGCAGCCCCAATAGTAACAGTTCTAGTGGCTCCAATAGTGCTAGGCCTATGTCCATGCCGCTGCCCACGTTGCCAGAAGACAAGATGCTGGCGGATGTTTCCACAGGCAATGCAGCAACAGTGTGTGGTCCTCCCTCCAGTAGTAAAAGAACCACTAGTGCTAAAAGAACATTAGAATCCTTTACAAGTACAAGGTGAGGAACTCAAGGCCATAACATTTTCTTTCCATGGATATTTTTGAGATCATTTTTGGATGTATACAAAGCATATACATGGTGATCCTTGACCTTAGCAGATTCATTGTCTGTAAATTATGTAAGGTCAAGGTCTCTTACCCATTGACCCTGTTGATTAGGTACCATTTCATTATTGTGAGCGTGGGGTGTCAATGTTTGTGCCAGACGAGATCAGTTCAGAACACACCAAACTTGAAAGCACAGAGTTCATGAACTGGCAGGTCATATTTCAGTGCAAAAATTGGAATGTTGATTTTTATCACAACTACCACTTAATAGTAGAGATTGCACCCTGCGTAGTCTTCAGCATTTCAAAGGAAACTGGAGAAGTTCTGAGCAAATATATATCTGCAGCATTAGAATCGGGGCTTAAATTTACCATGCCTATCATAACACAAAGTACCTGGGCTTGTAACATGCAGGTTTTACATTAGTAAATTTCTAAGTCTGTACCAAGTAATTGATACAAAGAAAATCATACAACATATCTTTTCAGATTTTGCAGAACAAATGTGTCCCACACTATACAACATATGCTGTCAATCATGAAAGTAGTTTGATAGAAAAAGAATTTAAACATAGTCCATTTTGACATTATGTCAGATCTTGGGTTAAAGCGAGAGAGAAAGAGAGGGGGGAAAAATAAGCATCATAAATTTTTTGCAATCAGCCAGTTGTAGTTTGGGCGATCATCAAAGCTATGGCTTTTTCATTGTTGAAGTGGTAAAGGGCTTGTAAGCAAGATGAAATATGATATGGCTTGGTTTACTTAGGTCTTAATTCACATACCAGGTAAATTGGAAAGGGCACCTGGTGCAAAAATTAAATGTAATATGATCTATATCAATGTGAGGTAATGTTTTTGAGTACTTTGTCAATGGAATGCTTTTCAATCACACACTCTTCATAGTTTTGTCAGTTTGATTGTGGCTCAAATGTATTAAAGTTTTTGATCACAATTTGTGTGCTCAGAAATTTAGGTGAAGAGCACAAAATTCAGAAAATTGTTAAAGTAAACATCAGGTAACACCTGAATAAAAAAGAACGGTAGGAAGTTACAAAGTAAATAGATAGATAGATAAAATTTTGTTTCATGTAGTGATTGAAGTGAGGAGGATCTGTTGATATAGCATTAGGTGATAAAGTTATCGGCTGTACATGCAACTCAACTCGGCAATTCTGTTGACAAGGCATACCTGACCCACTTTTGGTTGAAGCACACCTTTATGTGCACACTCACACACACACACACATACACACACACATAAACATATGTGACAGCTTCTATAAAAATGTACAAAATTATTTACCAGAACAACATAATATTTTAAGAGATTCATAAGATATTTGGTTGCACAGGACAATCTTTCCTTATAAGTACCATACATTTGCTGAAGCAACTATCTTGATTCTCAAGTGAGTACTGAATGATTGGAAATATCATATAATGAATCTTTGGTAGAGAGCGAACTAGGTCCACATCCATGGCAATGTGCTCTTACAGCCAGACACTACTGGGAAATTCAGAGGATCAGATAAACTGTTTATTATGGGATCATCTTATACATGTCTGTCTTCCCGACTGCAGATATTTTAATCAATGAAGCATGATTGTTTATAAAATTATTTTTATTTCTATAAGTAGCATATGATGAAATAAATAGTGCTAAATTCTTGAGTATCTAAAAGTTAACTTGATTTTGAAAAGCTGTAAATGAGTTAGACTGAGAATAAGCTAGCATTTTATTTGGCTGTGACCTAGTTTGAACAAATAGAGCCAGATCATTTCAGTATATTTATATGCATCCATTTATTAGAATAAAAAAATAATGTTAATTCAGTACATACATAAATACACATAATTATATAATACCAGGGATAGCCCATGAAAGCTCACAAGCTTATTTCCAATGTGTCCTTTATTGCATGGATGTTGGCTCGAGAGGGTCATTTCTATGGGTGGAAATAAGGTTCCAAGAAAACCCACATGTCAGAGCGGATGACCACCTTACCCTCTCAAATACAACCACTGTCCATCACAGGGATCAAACTCTGGACTCCCAGGGGCGAAAAGCTAGTGCTCTAACCAGTGCGCTACACCCCTATCACATTAGCAGCAAACCTTTACTGGATTCTCTATCCCTGTCCATTGAAATGCTAACGTGATTCATTTGACGTAATCATTTGCAGAAAAATGCTCAAAAGTCATTTTTAATTATTTTCACTATCATTAATTTCAATTGTATTTGTGCAGTTTAACATGCTTCATTGTTAGGTTTACTAGATGATTTTGTATTCTGCGTAAATCAAACATCAAACAACAGAGTATAATTAATAGTAGAAAAAATTAATTGTGTGCAGTTAAAATCATGCGAGTGATTATTTTGATTAAAAAAATTTTGCTTGCTTTGAATACCATACAGTATGCATGTAAATTTATTAGTATAATTACGTCAGTCATTATTTTTCAATACAATTAGTAAAATAGATTATGTAAATGAAATTTAATGATGTAAAACAAAAAGAGGATATATTTGACTGTTGATTTTGTCTTTTCAGTTTTCCTGCCCCTCCTCGGGTTCCCCCTCACCCCTACCATGTGTCATACGCCCCCACCTCAGAACAGGAGAGTGAGATCCAGAGTCTGTCCAGTGATGCCCTTACTGAGGACACCCTCTCTATCACAGATACCTCCAGCATGTAAGTACTTGTGTACTAAAAATTCTCTCATGGGGTGAAACGTATCTTCCACTCAGTCGGTACTGTTACAGGTAGATCTTGTAGTAAAACTGATAGGTTTTTGTAAGTGATGATGAAAAATTGTGTATCATTACCAGAATTAGGACTGCAAGAATTTACACTTAAAATTTTTCACACTGTGGTACTGTACATATCTCTCCCTGTGGGTAAATCAGTGCACATCTTCGTGATATGGGAAATTCGAAAAATTGCACTGGTACTTTCAATTGTTAAAGTGACTTAGTGAAGGAGTTGAAAAGTATGTGTTTTGGTCATGTTCTGTTTAACTGGGAAAGGAAATGTTGAGATATTTCAAAGTATGGGTTATGAGATAGTACTTACGTGGTAATAGAAGAGGAGGGGGAAAATCGAGGCTATGAAAAAGATTTTTGTATATAGGTATAAGTAACTACTTATAATCCTGCCTGGCATAAATCAATTAGTTTTTTTTACCCTTGAAAATACTTGAGTTAGAAATGGCCATTCCCTTGGTCGACATTTTTATGTTACTAAGCAGCTGCAAATGTTTGATGGGAGAGAGAGGAAAAGAAACTTCCAAAGGTTCAAGACCACAGAAATAAGTTTTAAAAGTCGTAAGACATAAAATAAGAAGACGGAACAAATGCAGGTAAAGATTGGTAACCAAGATGATCGGAGAATGCCCGTAGAATAGCAAAACATTGACAAAACTGTTCTGCTTTAATTTACTGATAAAGTCGAGCTCTATCCTTTGAAACAGTGGGGCAGTAGAAGATTCAAAGTGGATAGGGATCCTTGCCCAGTGTTGACACAGGACTGAATGCACTCCTTTGATGTGCTTTTAATAACACTTAAGGCCAAAAAATTTTAACTTTGAAAGTCACTGTGATCTTTTACACATGTACTTTTATGAGTAAGATATGGGAGAAGTTGTGTGCTGGCTAGTCTAGAACGTCTTCAAAGAAAAATTGATTTGTTTCTTATCGATTTTTTTTTTTCAAAACCTTTGACAAAATAGGAGGTTGTTTTATTAGGTTAATATCTTTGTAAACTCTTCTTTTCTCTTTGCTATAAGATGTGTATCATAAATCAAAAACCTGCAAAGAAAGAAAAAAAAATTAGAAGATATCAATTTAGTTGTTGATAATTTCGTATTTTAAGAAGGCTTTGTGAGCACATACTACTTTTAAGGTGGGACACTGTCGTTTTTTTGTCAGACAGATAATTTAATTGCCAGATGGCATGCGATTTCGTTTGAGATGAATGTAAATATTGTCTGTTACATACAGCAAATGGGTTAACAAATTGGTTGCATGTCTTCCATATTTGCAGTCTTCACGCAACAATTAAAAGAGCTGGGTGCATTACGAAAGGTTTCATGAGCTGGTGTTTTGTTCTTCAGTTCAACGTTTTGCATCATGAATGACTTGTAGGTACTTGTGCTGCAAAGCCCCTTCTTTCATTATAGGGAACTGCATGTTGAAGTTTATATATATATTTTTTCAACTCAACAAAATAACCAAAGGAGTTGCCGACAAAAGCTCCATATTCACCTGTGTGACTGGTCATTAAGAGTATTGACTGTTCACCCTTTTGATCACTGAAGCATAGCAATGTCATAATTTTCCTTTAAAATAAAGTTCCTGCATTGCCGCTTTTACCTTTTGTTGGGGACTAGACTTCAAACACTTGCGATGGCTTGCTTCATAAAAAAGACGAAATTAAGCTGTATAGCAGATTTAATAGGAGAAAAATAATGCCAGCACAGTGTTATAACTTGCTGAATACAGAAAGGGCTTTTCAGTTAGTGTCTTTTTCATGGTTTTTCTTCTTCGTTTAGTTTAGGTAGATGGTTGTTAAAATTGTCCATGTTTAGAAGAAAGGCCTCGCTGCTATTAAAATCCTTTAGAGTTCATGCCATAAAAAATTTCAAAGAAGAAACTGTTTGTTTGATATTTGAAATTTAAAGTCTGTGTTTTCATACAAGTTTTGTATTAAAAGTAAATAAAACGTGAAAATGAAATTCCTGGTCTTTGCCTTCGATACTGAAGATTTTAAATGTGGGTATACTTTGTACAAACAGAGTTCAATTTATTCATGAATTGTTACTTTTATACTAGCTATTAACATAACACAAAAGAGGCATTCTGTGGCGATGAAATATGTTTTGGAAAAGATAAATGTGTGATAAATGTAGATCCCTTGATTAATGGGAGAGTTACATGATAAGATAAACTATGCTTTATAATCCTTTAGTCTGGCCACTCGACTTCAATATACCATTATAGCCTATGTCTGACCAACAAGGTAAATGCACAGTATGAATGACCTTCTTGGTCCGTAGTACAAAGCAGTTTCTCTCTTGACAAAGCACCCCAGGGCATACAGTTTAATGTTTAATGCTGCCTTTCCTATGGGTTTTGATAGTGTTTTTGTTGGCCCACAAAATTGTTCTGATTTCTTTCATCTTGCAAGGAAAAACAACACAAAAGCAAATCAAAAGGGAATTCTTAACAAGGCCTGGTCATATTTCAGCCCAGACCAAAAAGTATCCCGTCTAATTATGTTTGTAGTAACATTTTTATTGAATCATCAAGACCTATCAATCCGCACATTGAGTAGGCTAAATCGTTTGATGTGTAGCTTTTTATGCATCGCCCTTTGATTCATTCTTTGGTAGATATAAAAGGTAGTTGGTGATAAAAATGACCAAGGGAAAATGAAATTTTTTCCCGTGCCAATATAGAAAGTGTTTTTCTGACATGCTCTGGCAACAAAAAGTGGTATATTGAAGCATGCTAATGAAGCAGATGGTAGAAAGTATGTGGCTTCTAAATTTGTCTCATTTTATCTCTTGCCTGATAGGCTTTGATCAGTTTTATAGAAAGATGTCTTCGGTGTGTTTGAATCTCTTCTTCTTCCATCTTCAAACAGTTCTTCATCTAGATAGCCTGAGTTTTTCCCTGAACTGAATTGGGCCCTGATCTCCTGAGGTCTTTGTGTTTGAACTTCTGGCGAAAGCATGTGCAGTTGTTCTTTTAATTAAATTGGAATTCTGGTGTATTAATGCTGAACACAATCACAGTGTTGTTTTATTTGATAGAGGATGAAGCCTTTTCCTTTTGATGTGTAAAAAACCTCAAAATACCCAAACAAAAGGATTAAAAGGAAAAAGAAAAAATCTTGGGAGAAATATTGTTTAATCAGGCAAATCTTTTGATCAAGGGAAGAGATGCTAAAACAGGCATCAAATGGGGGAGAGATGGGGGAAAGTGAAGACAAAATAAGAAAGGAGAGAAAAATCAATATCAGGGACTTGGTGATAGGTACAGTAAAGGGAGCAATGGACCTCTGTGTCTTTTGAAGGTAGAAAACGAGATGAAAGCAAAGCATACAGATGACTAGATGATCTTGTATCAAAGGAATATAGTGTGATTATGCAGCTGATACAAGCTGATAAATTATTAATGATACTATGATATCATCAAGGGGCAATGTACACCACTTTATATTAAACAAAAAAAATTCTGTCAACCACTTGGAGCATTTATTTGATAGGAGATGTCGGCTGGAGATTTTGATGTCCATAATCCAATGTAACCAATGACATTTCTAGCTTTTCCGGCCTTATCTTTCTTTTTTCTCTTTTTTTTTGCTTCCCGCCAATGAAAATGAAAGGAAAATAATTTCAAAACTTGTTTGTTGTCCTGATAATATCATCAAAGAGGTTATTTGTCTAAGCCAGAGCTTTTATTGAAAAAGTTTCTCATTTTTTCCCTATTTTATCTTGTATTATTCCATCTTTTCTTTCTCTTTGTAACTGCTGATCACACAAAGCGAGCCAGCTTTGTGTATTTAAATAATGCATCTCCCTCTTTGTTCACATTTGTCTTTAATGTGATACTTTCAAAAGAAATGACAAATGCCATAGGAGGATTGTTGCCTTTTATTTTTTCCACCCTCTCCTGATTTGTGTGACTTTTGTCAAAGACATAGACAAGATCAGAGAGATGAGTAAAGTTGTCAATCTATGGATAATAAAGATGATTAGTAACAATGTGGGTTAAGGTATTGATGTTACAAAAAGGTGTTTTGGGACTGAAATTTCCCTATATCCTATCCTGCAACTCCCTTTCCAGAACACATTTTAATGATAGATTTTAAGATAATGAAGGTAAAAAAAATCTTTCTGCACACATGACAGAAATCAATAAATAAAACAATCATGTATTATGGAGTTTTGCTCATTTAGATTCAGCATCTTATCCCATTAAATTGTGTTTTGCAGAGACAATGATTCCAAAAGATGCAAGCGCCAAAGACGGTACATGCGAAGAGAGCACATGAACCGAAATCCAATAGAAATGAGCGTCATTCCTGTGAGTATTTAAAATTACACAGATAAATTTATATCTAGATTTGCTATTACTGGAAAGATTCTTACGGGGGGGGGGGGGGGGGGGGGGGGGGGGGGGGGGGGAATCTGAATTTAATTTTTCTACTGTTTTTTTTTTTCTTGTCACAATTTTGGAATATTCAACCAAAAAAAAAATGTGAAGTGAATGAGAATATGTCCAGAAAAGAAACAGAATTATTGCTGAAAGTGGAAAAGATGTCACTGTTGTAGGCAGAAAGAAAAAATTTATTATGCATACACTCCACCTTTGATATGGTGATTACGGGATGATATGTTGTATTTTACATTTCAAAAAAGAACATGATGAATATGAAAAAATAATGAATGAAGAAATGTTTGACCCAGTGTTTGTTAAACTGAAGCATCTGACAGAATCTGACATTTTGGGTGGGAGGATAAGTGATGTTCATTTCTTGGATTGATGAAGGGGAGCCATGTTGTAAACAGATTAGTATAGCTTAGGTATGCCAGTTTATTGATAAAGAGCACCATAGAAGAAAAAAATCTAAAGGGTTTACCACACAATTTAAATCCAAACAAAACCAAAAAAAAAAAAGATATCTACATAATACTTTGATATTTTGTCACTGACATGGTAGGGACATTTATGTGAAATGTGAAATAGTTAAATTTTTTTTTTCAGTGTTTATGTTTGACCTAAAGGCATGAGGTACCTAAGGCAATTCTGAGTCTTTAGGTGTCATTTTCTCAGAAAACCTGTATCATTACTAGAGATATTAGATTAAGATCATATTTAATTGTTCAGCAATTAAAACAAAGGTGCTGAATAAATAATATTTGAATTGGCTTTCCTTATTACACTTAAATTTCCTTAAAAGTCCAGCATTCCTTTAGGGTATGACCTGTCAAAAATTTTAACACTTCTGGAAAAAATGTCGCATATATTTTAAGTTTTGTGTTCATTTATGTCACAGAGGACTGACAGACTTCCCAAAGACCGCAACTTAGCAGAGACAGACCCTCCCAGATTTGCAGCATTAATCATAGAGAAGTTGGAGAAGATTTTACAAGACCATGAACGGAATCGTCGCATAGAGGAATCCCTCAATAGAGTGATATATGACGAAGTATGTTAGCGGAATTTCGCCTTTTTAATCCTGTCAACTTGAATCACTTCTTATTCAAATTTATGAATACTTAATAGTGAGGATTACATTGATGGTTGTATTTTTTTTTTTTACAACACAGAGATGTAAATGATTTACACTCGTGAGAAGGAAATACAATCGCGTGTGATATTAAAAGGATTGTTGAATAATAAGAGTAATAAAATGAGTATAAACTTACAAAGTTAACTGAAAGAAAGCATGTATTGTGGTTACTTTGTGGAAAAATGTATGTTTTAGTTTTTTGAAACATTTTCAAAACAAAAATCTTCCCCTTTTTCTTTTAGTGTCATTAATTTCACTCTGTGACATTAGAACAAAAATAAGTTGTTACAATGATTAAGTACATGTTTTGAAAATCATCTGACTGCAATTAAAGTCTAAAATGGTTAACATAAATTTTTAAAAAGAGAGTTTCTTGTTTAATGAGAAGCTTTAAATTTCATAGGATTTGCATGATTACTGAAAAAAAACATAATTTATATTTGTATAATGCATGTATTGGGAAAAACCTAGACAACAAATATATTTTATGAAGGTAAAAAAAAATATTGAAGATTAATATTCTAATAGACCACTGTGTAATAATAAAGAAATGTTTGAATGTAAAATAGGGGGAAAAAAGTTGTTTTGATAAATATTTATAAGGTTTATTTCTACGCATTGCATGAGGAAAAGTAAATGCGATTATAGGTCCTGGTCAAGATCAAAGTTTGACTAATGAAAAGGAAATGTGCAAAGTAATTGTAAAGCCCCCCGCAAGTTCTAGGAAAAGTTTTTTTTTTTGACGGAACAATAAGTGAATTGCAAAGTTCTAAAGTACGCTATTGTCTGTTTTCAGAAGGACATTGAGGAGAGTGATCGATCTCTACTGTCCACGTCTATAGCACAGAAAGACCTCTCTTCTACCTCCTTTTTACCTCTAATGACCTCTGCTGTGATAGACGAGGACAATCCAGACTCCATTTTGGAGGAACACTGTTCTCGAATCTGGGAGAGCTCTGTGGGTCAGACACCTAGCAGGTCCCCTGGGCGCCATTCACCTCCCAATGCAGATCATAGGTCACATGATCGATCACTAAGTCGCAGCAAAAATCAATCCCAGCCAAACTTGCCTTCACACAAACAAGTGCACAGAAAGCGACCAGATTACTACTCGTCCTTTGACAGTGGGATGGGGGAGGACAAACCTGCACTGGAGACGCATCGTCACATTCATCATCATCATCATCATCATCATCCCTCATCCAAGTCTCGGGCCTTCCCCGAGTACGACTCGCAAAAGGTGTACACAGCACCTGAATTTGACCGAGGCCGAACCCCGAGGAAGTCAACAAAATGTAAACATTCAGACACAAGCTCTAACATAGACAGTGGCATAAGCATGATTGAATCGATTCCTCCAATGCCAAATCCAAATGATCCATCAACAGAAAAGTAAGTACTTGTATACTGTATTTCTTTTTTATCTTGACCTTGAAAAGATCAAGATTCAAATTTAAAAAAGTAGTACAAATAGTGATTATTGAAAGGAAAATTGGAGGGTAAAATTTATCCTTGGTATGTATAACTTTGACCCTTCTTTAAGGTCTGGACCTTGCCTGCAGAACTAGAGCATTAATATGAGTAGTTAAACACTTCTACTTGATATTTAGAATTTTTTTAATAAAAACATCTTACACAAATGATAGATGGTGAAAATTTGTACTAGAATTACCCATTATTCATAAAAACACAAAGAATAAAGTCCTGTTAGCATGCCCCAGGCCGAGACATTTACAACCTCAAAGAAAAGTAACGGCTTGCAATTTGTCACTTGATGACAGTTTTGCAGGTGCTGATTAGAGTCGAACTAAAAGGCTGATTAGTGTCAATATTGGAGCTGAAATTCTAATGTACTGATTTCAATGAATAATTCATCCTTTGAAATATTTATAAATGAAACTTTGTACCTAAAACACATATCCAGTGTTTTTCTTAAGATGAATTTGTCTCTTTGATGGTTGAAATTTGCAAGTCTTTTAACTTTTTTTTTTGAAGTAAATCATCATAAATAAGTGTCTTTGATAGGTCCCAAGTATTGAAACACAGCAAGGGACTTTGATGTGCATTGGGATCAGGCTTATTATGAATCGTGCAGAATTTTATTTTCCCTTTGAATTGAGAAGGGGAAAAGAATATGTTTTTTGCAATTACAAAATAAAGACTGTCCACCTTATTTCAATGTTGGGTGTTCTGTTCTGTTGCTATTACTAATTATCCTGTGGTTGATTGCTGCAGATGCACTCTTGACTAGAAAGTTTACACCGTAAAATTTTCAATATTTATACGATTTTCTGCCATTCGGGAATTGTTTATGTATTACAAAAAACATCAATGAAATCTTTACCACTTCAAAGGAATTACATCATAGGTTTGGGGTAATGTTTTTTTCTCTTTATTATCTATGGGGCATGGCTGGCGATATAACCTCTCCAGTTTTCTGACATCACAGAGGAATTCCTCGCGATTGGAGCACTTGTCTACTGCCTTAAGTCTGAAATTGTTAGGTTTTTGATGATACCAATTGCTAAAATAATATACAAACATGTATATAAAGACAACAAAGGAAGAATAGATGTTAAGATAGGGAAAAATGTGGAGAAACAAAATGATTGCTTGCCTGCATGAGTATTGAAATAGACCAAATTACATGAATTCAGCCTGTCTGCCTTTTTTTCTGTCTTGCATGATCAAAGGCTATGGAAGAAATGGCCCACCTTCTCATTAAATGTTTGCACCAATTTGTAGAGAAGATCAAAGTGCCACAGGCCAGCACAAAGTCAAACTAAAATATTCTCTCTTTCTCTTTATGGAATAAATTTACTTTTATGGTTGAAAGCTTGTGTTATTTCAAGATTGCCTTACTTAATGGCAAGAGTTGGAAAATGTCTGTAAAACAAGGCAGTTGCTGCAATTTTCAAAAGATTGGAATCTCCTCTGAACCTACTTTCAGTTTGTAGCCCTTTATTTTTGCCTAAGTTAAGGATCAGTTTTGAAGTAATCTGGGCCTGTAAATCTAGATGTACTTGGTGACAGGGTGACCCTCAGCTCCCAATGTTTTATATTTCTTTGTACACTGCACGAAAGTCTGAATTTCTTGCCATGGAGAGTTTGCTGTGATAGCGCGTCATGTGTAACAAAATATATCTTGTTTTCTTGGTTAGGAAATGGATACATTTAGGCAAAAGTTTTTGAGGAAAATAGTTTTTTTTTTTTCAATTACCAATTGAGAGGACTTTTTAAGTGTTTTTAACCTTGGGACTTGGGACATTAATCAGTCTATATGCATTAGCGCTTGATCTGTTACAATCTTTCTATAGTGGTAGATTCTTTGATGTTTGTTTTGTCGGCTTATTCCTCACAGTTAGGTATATGCATTTGTCACAAAAGTATTGTTTATGAAAATCAAACGAAAGGATACCTTTGAACCAGTGAACGTTTCCCCAACAAAGGCATGTTGCATTTGAAGTCATAATGCCAGAGTCTCAGGACAAATCAAGTATGTTCAGATCGGTTGTAAATCCGTAACATGAAGGTGCCTTATTAAAGGGATATTATTATACTTTTGGAGGGAAAAAACACACACATCTGTTACCAAAAAAGAAATACAGAAAAATGAATTGAATGACACTCAATATGAAAAAAATCCGCCTTTGTCATTGGATTCTAAACGTTTTGCTTTGATGTTGGTAAATGAGATGTAAATTTGAATCCCATTAAAGATCTAAATGCTTTTGATTTCCTCTTGTATAGGAATATTTTGGTTGAAGTGCTGATTGATTTTGCTGTAGTCTAGGCAGCCCTAATTTATTTTGATTTATAATTAGCAATTGAATGATGAGCAGCAATTAAGGCTCTGTCTCATTTGCATATTGTCACATTTTGGATTTCTGCAGATAGATAAAAGTGCTTTGGGAAATATATCCATATAAGGAATTTGTTAAAGATTTGATGATAAAAGACTTCTGTTAAAGGTTTAGACTCAAAATAATATTTCAATGCCTCCCTTAGGACACTTAACCGAATTTTACTTGGTATGCAATTCAGCCATGACCAACAAAAAAGAGTCTTTCATTAGAACAAGATATTTTTAAAACTTCACAGTAAATATAATTTGAATCCTTTATCCTGAAGTATGGAATATAAATAATTCAGAAATTTTAAACATCATTTAAGAGAAGACTCTCATTGGATGAAGCTAAACATGCTTTGATTTCAAACCCCCATACTTTGTATCCCACACAACATCGGAGATCTATTAAAAGATGTTCAACTATAACCTGGTAGTGGTTTGTAGTGCTTTCATTTCTCATCAGCAAAACAGGTCTTCATCCAGTTTAAAGTGTACTAGAATAAGTGGCTGTCTGAAACATTAAAGAGGGCCATTGTAGGATAGTTGCTTTGATGTCGCAGATGAAACAGAGAATTAATTGGTCCAGGGAATTTCTCTTATTACTCCTATAGAGTATCCCGTTTCAAATGAAAATTTTTCTTTCCCATTGTTTTGAAGGGAAATAAAGAAAAGTGGAGGAATAAGATGAAAAATTAGCATTTTGCCAAAAACAGAGAAATTGAGATCTTGAAGGGGGAAATTAGTAGAGGGAGAAAAAATTAGCTGGGTTGATTGTTGGAAGAGCTAGGGGCAGCTGTGATGGAGAGTTAAGGAAAAACAGCAGGAAGGGAAGCTCAGAGAGACTTGCAAAGAAATATAAGCCAACTTCAAACGCTCAAGTTCCCAGGGCAAATGTTCTGAACCCTATATTGCAATCTGACCAGATTTCTAACTCAAGATTATCTCCATAAGACATGTATATATGTATTTATTTATATCTCTTTACCTATAGAGTAAGAAAACCAATGGCTTACGCCTTGTAAGATTAATGATAGTGCTGTTTATGAAAGGGTTTCAAATTCGACACTTCAAACAAATTGTAGTGAAACCTGAAGTAACTAGCTATTTGTTAATTACAGGGTTATGTATACTGATAAGAAAACTAACTATAAAAACAAAAGTACACGTGTTTAACTATTTGAACATAAAAAGTAATGAAAAACAAGAAAGGAATGCTAAAATCAGTGGATAAAAATACATTTTAACCAAAAACAAAACACCAGATCATGAGCATGTGGTTTTACAATGTTATGTATTTTTACAATCTGCAGGGTGCTTAATTGGATGATGGACAATGCACGAGAGAACTCAAACTCAGGTTGTGCAGACTCGGACAAAAGCTCATCCCACAAGCAGCGGTCACGCCCCAGTGCATCAGCATCTTCTTCAGCCCCTGCATACAAATCTGGGTAGGTGTTTTGGCAGACTCATAAGCAATCTGGGCTTTCCTAGAGAGATTAATTAATAGTACACATCTCATTCTATACAATACCAGATGCCTACTGGGTATGCACAGGGCCTTCTTGCTTCTACAAAATTATTTTTTCCTGGCTCTATAATGAGTCTGCAAGGATAAAAAAAAATGTTTGCTAACCTCTGTCTCTTTTATGCATTATCCTTGAAAACCACTAAAGTTGCCAAAAGAGATAGCACATTTTAAAAACCTCTGAAGCAATAGGAGATTTTTTATATTATCATTTCTAACCCAGACTTTTCTGATTGAGTTGTAACTGAACACTTCTTCATCTTAAGTTCATTGACATGTGGTTTTGTACCTTGCTACTATGAGCTTTGTAATGGAAGTGCACCTATATTGAAGTTCTTCCATCCTATCAGTGTTCCTCAATGGAAACTCAAGTTTTCACTTATAGCCAACCTTATCAGTTTGACAAGCTATTGAAAATATTTTTATTCACAGCTAGTTTCATTGATTATTAGGAAGGTTACCACCAATTTAATTCTCTGTTTGAATGAAAAGATACATAGCTCTCGGTATTAGAAAGATGATATAATGAATATTGAAAATTTGAGATTCATTTTATTACCATCCCAGGCAGATGCCTGCAAGTAATTAAGATTTTTAGAGCTCTTAAAATAATCATGCAAAAAAGAGCACTGTTCTATACGTGTATTTATACTCACACCTATCAATGTTGGGTTAATTTTGTAGGTCAAAGAAACAGAGCTTGGGCACAAGCAGGTCAGGGTCAGTTGACCGAGGAGGAGGAGGGATGCAGCCTTACCTTGGGACTGGGGGATTCATGCCCTCCCAGCCTTTTGCTACAGACCCTTCCATGCCCCTCCCCACCCCTCCAAATACCACGGTGCAGTTGGAGGAGGCAAAGAGGAGACTAGAGGAGCGCTCTACTCCTGTCAAATCTAGGTAAGTACTTGTAGGCACTTTAAGGGAGAATAAATAAAAATAGATAAGTTGCTGGGAGAATTTTGGTGTAATTACCTGTGGCATTGTATGTGTTAAACACCATGAAACTTGTTGTTTGGCATCAAGAAAAATAGAACCAAAAACATCTCATCCAGAAATGAAGAATTTAAGTGATTCCTGATTTTTTAAAAGAGAAAATTCTGGATGAATCATTTTTTGGAGGGGAGAATTAATTTTGCATATCTTGGAAGAGCAAAGATTATTGCCAAACGGTAACCATGTGAAAAACGGAATTCAACAGATGCTGAGAGGAGCTAAACATCTTAGAACTCACTCCACCCCATGTTTCTTCTTGTTATAAAAAAAGAGGAGAGCACTTCAGATGGGGGAATTTGTGAAATTAGATTTGCAGATGATCTTTGATGCTTCTCTTTTATGCTGCTGCATGAAGGATACTATGTATAGCTTGTCTTTATCAATAATTTGTATATACTGCTCTCCTCACACAAACTGCAGAGGCTGACAGCTGAAGAGTTTCAAAAAGATTCAAAGGCAACCCTCAAAAACATTATCTCCAATTTATTACCACACCATTTTGTTTGATGTTTACGGCCACGTTCAGCCTGCACTAATACACTCCATACACTTCTTTGTCAGAGTGTTCCTCTGCATTCATTCAGGGCAATTGATTTTTATGTGAAAGTTGCATTAATTTCTCTTTTGGAGAGATTTTCTTCATTATTATATGATTTTTTTCTTAACAGATCATTTGGCGGTATCACAACCAAAGAGAACAAAAAAGTGGCCTCATTGTCTCAGGGTGCCACAAGAACAGCTATCCCTGGCGCTAAGACCGTACCCTGTGAATTAGACATGTCCGGTGACAGTAGCACATTAGAGTGAGTGCCTCTTCAGACATATGGAATAAAATTTCTTATGAATAAAATTATATTTGCAGATAACTAGTTTGAGAAAAATAAATGTACAAAGTGAAGGCAAATTCACTTGCAATAATCCAAGTTGCATTGCATTTTTAAATGTCAAGGATTTGTGGCTTTTTGAATATTTTAAAAATACATACATCAAAAAACGGAAAAAAAATGAAGAGTTGGAGGAATAAATTTCAAAGAAATGTAATTTCAAAGAATAATTTTGTGGATTAGTGATCATTAAATGACATATTTTACTTGAACAGGAAGAAGAGCAGTAATAAAAAGTCTGGATCCTCCAGCGCCAATACAAGTGGATCAGCGGATGAGACCGTGATTGGTTACTACCTGTGTTCGGAGCCCATTCCATACAGAATCACTGTACAGGGCAGACATATCACTCTGGCTATGTTCAAACAGCTGATCGGCCGCAGAGGAAATTTCAAGTAGGTTTTTCTCTATTTCTCTCTCAAAGTATTGATTATTTCATTTCAAACTCCCTGCTGCATTGTCTGTAAAATAATAAACTGCAAAGTTTTAAACTTGTGAAGAAATTTATCAGGATTCCTCAGTTTCTTTGAGCATAGAATAAAAAACATCAACACAAAATCATGGTTTCGTTTCTGCCATTATGTCACAGGTGACTTGTAATTGAAGAAATGTTAAAAATCTTAGATCACCTGTAGAGATAAGATAATGTAAAAATGTGGTAGGTAGTCTATGATGAGCAATTTGTAATGACAAGGGTTCGTTTATAACGATGAATGGTATGAAATTTATGCCAGGATGTTTTCTAGCAAGGACAGGTATAAAACGTATTGGACAGGTGTCCGATTCTGAGTGCATTGTATATTAGAAATGAGGTGTGCTGTTCAACACTAACTAATCTGACATCTTTAGACGAGAACACATTTCAAGAAAATTTTAACAAAATTGATGTGTCAAAAATATCTGAGGCTAAATTGTGATGGGGTCAGTCTTTTAATGTGTCGACAATGCAGCTTTTAGTCTGATGGATGAGTTATATCTTGTTACATTTCTGCAATTTAACGTTAGTCATTGAATTGTCATGGCAAGAATTCTATGTATATCTCATTTTATGTTTTACAGGTATTTCTTCAAGAAGAGGAGTAACGAGTTTGAGAGCGAGGTTGTGTTCGAGGAAATCAGCAATGATGATGAAGTGCTCCCATTGTGGGATGGCAAAATTGTCGCAAAAGTTGATAAAATGGATTAGTAACTAACTTTTCATATCTTCCACTGGGACTTTGTAGTGCAGATGCACTGAAATCATTTAGTCCTGCACTTTTAGTGCTAATTTCAAGTGTTGGACGCAGACTAATGAAAGGAACCATTCTCTTTATTAATTTATTCATTGCAATAAGCAGTACTATATGTATTAAATTATTGCAAACCTTTTTTTTTTTTTTTAGAATGTCACTCTTTTTACCAAAATTTTAAATTTTGTGACTTTTTTTAAACTATTGTTTGTTTCTTTTTAATACAAAATGAAAATTCTTTTGTGCCAATATTGTATATTGTTCATGGGAGTTGTTAGCTGAGAATATGTATGTCTATATGTGACAAGTGAACGTGTATATAGAAACATGTAAATAAGCAAACTCAGGGGTATTTTTGACATGGAATAGCCAGATCCATGGACAAATAGCAACTAAAATGTTCAAAAAAAAATAAGAGTTAAGAGTTAACCACTCTTGGATGCTCTTGTTGCAGGGTACATCAAAATTTCGTGTTGGAAGTCTGGGTAACAATACATATCTGTTCAAAAAAGCATGTATATCTTATTTATTATCAGATATCAACCATAATGATACATCAGTATTTTTTTTCTTCATGCAAGAAATCTTTTAACTTTCGCTTGCCTTTTCTCCTTCTTTTTATAACTATTCTTAGAAGATTTCTTTTCTTGAAGAAAGATGGTGCCTAAAACTCTTTTTATCATTGTAAAAGAAGAAGTACATTGGTATGTTTTGATATTCATTTAACTTTTCTCAGTAAATTTTACCATTCAAAGTCTACTACAATTGCTTGTTATGTTGGATGACAGCTTTTTTGTTTTACCCTTTTTTAAAGGATTAATGAAAAAAGGGGGAGGGGAGGGGAGGCAATACAATGTTTTAAGGAGAAGGATTTTCTTTTTTTTCAAATTAGAGGAAAAACTGTCAAGATAGTATTGAATATTTTTATATGAACAAATTAATTTTTTTGTGAAATGAAATAATGGCATTGATCATGTATTTATTTGTATGTTGGAAAACAACTGTCTTCAGATGCTTGTATGCCTACAGAGTAATCATGGTAATGTTTTTCCTGTAAAACTGCTTAAATTTTGTATGAACTTGTGCATCTGCCAGTAAAGATGATGTCCTCTGGTTCAAACAACCAGAAAAATTCCTTGAATTATCTGTGATTTTTTTCCTACGTAATTGTTGTATGGTTGTGTGTATTTATGTTGACAGCTTTAAGATTATTACAATTTATGATATTTAATTATAAGGATATACTGTATATATTGAACTATAAGTATCATTGTCATGGATGACTGACTCTCATTGCCATGGAGTCTTGTATCATTCACCATCATTTAGGTAGAAATGAAAACATTTCCATTTGTGTAAAAATAGAAAAACACAATAAAGTTTGTACATTATTTTACATAAAGTTATGTTATTTTTGGATTGGTGGCAGGTGTTGAATATGACAATGAAGAAGGCTCAACAACCATGGATATTAGTAGTGTCAAAAATGACTAGAATTGTCCCCACCCCAATAACAAAAATCAGTAGAAGAAACCAGCTTCAATGTTTTAGTCCTTTGCTTGATAAACATCAACATTGGTATACTGGTTTTCTCTAAGGAGTAATTGAACAATATTGATTTTGAGGTCACAAGGTCAGGGTCAATCTATCTTGGGACATGAAGAGTTGATTGTATGTTGTTTTACATCCTGTTTGAGAATTTTTCACTCATATTGAGATATCCATATACCAATGAAGGGCTTTGAATTTACACCTCACTCAAAAATCTTTATTCCTGCACAAGCAGTAAATCTGTTAGCATGGTTGTAGTAAGCACTGAACTCTCTTCCAATATTGTGAAATTTATGGCCCTAGGTCAGGGTTTCTGGTGTAAGGGTGGGGCTCTTTTGTTCATATAGTAAAAATTCTTGAATTCTTCAAAAATCTGTGATCCTGGGGATGTACCAGACAAACTAACTGCATGGTTATGATTTAGCAAGGGTGTCTCTTACAAAATTGTTAAATTCATGACTCCTGGGTCAGGGGCTTTGGTGTTATGTTTGGGATCTACCCGGTATTGATCATACTGTGAAAATGCATTGATTCTTTGAACATCTTTTTTCTCTGGTCTTGGGTATAAAACAGCAAATTAATTGCATGGTTATGATGAGCAAGGATGTCCCTCTTACAAAATTGCGAAAGAAATGGACCCTGGGTCTGGGGTTCTGGTTTTAGAGTGAGGCTCTGTTGATTATACAGTGAAAATGCATTTATTTAATTCTTTTAAAATCTCGTCTGCTCTTGGGTATTCAACAGACAAACTAAGTGCATGGTTGTGATGAACAAGGTTGCCTCTTCCAGAATTGCAAAACTCATGGCCACTGGGTCAGGGGTTCTGGTGTTAGAGTGGGTTTTTATTGATTATATTGTGAAAAATGCATTAATTCTTCAATTTTTTCTTCTACTCCTGGGCATTTAAGGGCAGAGTACAAAGTTTTAATGATCAATGGTGTTTTTTTTAACGAGATTTTTGATATTCTTGGCCACTGGGTCGGAATTTTAGGGGTTCTGGTGCTGGATATGGCTCTATTGATTATGAAGGGGAATTTGTACTTGAGAAAAGTTATTCCACTTTGTTATTTACCTTTAATATTTAGTCATTTTAAGAAATGCAAAAAGACCAAGAGAGTCGAATGTGCTGTATTTACTGTTTTCATACAGTTATTTAAGTAGAACTAGCGTTTTTGGTGATAGTGTCAAATGAGAGAGTAGATTGTAATTTTACTAGGGGTTTGGGACATAGATCTACTTTATGGGTTGTTATTGTGTATATATCAGAGTAACTATTTTGTTGATCCCTGATCTTCCTATTTCCCTTGTATTTGGGCAACACATCTGTCTGTCAGTTTGATTATATACTTATTCAATTGCCATTCTATGGGTGCGCTACAGGATTGTATTATCCTCGGGTGACCGTTAACACCCTTGGGCCTCTTGCTTGAATCGGTCAAATCCTTCAAACTCTCCATGAAAAACAAATATATACGTATAGGATGGGCATGTATGAACTTACACTGTGAGATTGTGTCAAATATTCACACCGAGTAGTGAATTCTCTTTGGTCAACCGAGCGTCCATCTCAAGTTTGATGGGATGAAATATGATGGATGTGTACGACAAAAAAGTCTTAAACAGTGGACATGTATCAAAAACAAACAGCGGGTTTATAAGCTGCTTGAATGAAATGCCTGGGTATATTAATAAAAATGGTGAAACAGGACTATAAAAAGGAGTATAGTTTCTTCGCTAACTCAATGCGTTCGAATGAGGGTTGGAATTCTCTCTCTCTCTCTCTCGATATCTCTTCCTCTGTGTGTGTGTGTGTTACGTGACTCTAGGTCTTTAGGATTTTTTCGTCAAATTTTTGCAATGACATGCGACAACAATTATCAGCTTATCATTATGTTTGATGTTTTGTGTCCCCGGGTTTATTAATTACTGCGGATATAGCAGATAGAAAATCCATAAGTCGCCCTAAAACCATCAGTTTTAAACCAACAAAGCCACTCATTTGCATATTATTTTAGTATCACACGATTTTTAACCGAGAATTTGATACAGACGTACGAATCCTCTAGCAAAATACTCGACGTCGAGTTTCAGATTTCAAAGGATCGCTTTGATTTTATTTCGTCATTTTACGATATGTGCACACATTGGAATTATGTTTTTTCCGATAATTTTCAATTGTCAAGCTATCTGAGTTAATATTTAATCAATTCTTTGAAGGTATTTGTTACGGGTCTCTAAAGCAAATTTGTCATTCGTAGTGGCATGAATAATGAAACACTAAGGAAATAAGCAAACTGAATATTAGAAATATCAAAGCTTTCATGTACCACGGCCGTGGGTCCAATGCGGATGTAAGGTTGTCAATTTAAGTGTCCATTTTCTTCCGCATAAGCATACATCACCGCGGGGGGCTTTTCGTCGGAAAGCAAATATTTATTTGTCATGCAGATGACAAACGGACAAAATAAAAAACGTTAAATAGTATCAAATATTGTGCATATATGAATAAAGTATTCAAATTTCCTTAAAACAACGAGTGCACCTATAATCCACTTGAAGGTATGCAGTGGGCTTTAACATTCGAACAGAAATTATGCAAGGCATTTAGTATATCGAGGTGAGGCTGCCCCCCACCTTTCCCCCGATAACGTTTTGCTATTAAATAAACATGGATATTACCATTTCAGGCTGGCCCCCTCCCCACTTTTGTTGCAGTATGGTCAAATCCTCCCACTATATATGTAATACTATCTAAAAGAAAATTCTTGTCTGGAAAGTTGGACCCCCCCAGCCCCCGAAATAGTCCTTTTGCTTGTCAAAGTTTTTCGGGGATCTTCTCAATTATTTTTTCTGGCTGACCCCCTTTCTGGAAAAAAAAATATGCTACGTGCCTGTAATATACATCAAATCTGAGGGAGGGGGATTTTCGAAAATATTAATGATTAATTGAAAATAGCAAAATCTTACATAAAACATTAATAAATACCCCTTGATCTCTAGAAGTTAAACCATCTAGAATTTTCGATTCTATTTCAGTCATTCAGATACCCACCTTTCTATCCAGAGAAATCTGGTGAGTGTGAAAATTACGTCGAACTCTAAAATATCTAGTCGTGTACATATGTATATATGACATATCCCCTCCTACGATTGAACATTGGCTACTTTTCTTTTTTTCTTCTTTGTAACTGCTTCTTTTTACCATCGCTTCTTTTGAATTTAAAGTTTGATGCACACCCCACCCCATCTTACTCCACCCCCGTGGATTCTGTCACTGCATTGATATTTCGGGGTCATCATTTCAATCTTCCACTTCACTACGAACTTTGCGGTTTTTAGGATGGGGCATACAGTGGATCATATCCTTCTTCCTGTCACACATAGGACTGGGGCATACATACAGTGGATCATATCCTTCTTCCTGTCACATATAGGACTGGGGCATACATACAGTGGATCATATCCTTCTTTCTGTCACACATAGGACTGGGGCATACAGTAGGGCTGGGACGATATATCGAGATATCGATTCTGTGTGAGGACGATACGCATATCGATACGTATGAGGAAATATCGAAATATCACCCAGAAAGTTCTGACTTATGTTTTTCTTTGTTTACTTAAAATTTTAGGTTAAATATATAAAATAAATACGCTAAATATCAATATAAATATGAAGTAAATATAATAAATAACACCACTTGTGTAAATTAATTTTGTTTTAGAACAGATATACAACTTTTTTAATCAATTATTGTTATTTGTGAAGACATGTTTTGTTCATTTCAATGCGGAAAAAAGATTTTAAAACCAATTCAACATATCGTGATACATATCGTATCATGGCTCAAATATCGTGATACGTATCGATATAGAAAAAGTTGTATCGTCCCAGCCCTACCATACAGTGGGTCATATCTTTCTTCCTGTCACACACAGGGCTGGGGCATACGGTGGGCCATATCTTTCTTCCTGTCACAACAGGGCTGGGGCATACGTTGGATCATAGATCCTTCTTCTTTCCACCTGTATGTCTGTATTAAGGAACATGAGACAAACGTGAAAGACAAGATTGGTAGCCAGTTGAGAACTCCCTCATCTTGGTGGCCAGAAGACTTGGTTTGATGGCACATGCCATTCTAAAACCAGGGACGCCATTTTCTCATTTTCTTAGAGAGCACTTCGATTTCCGTAAACTTTTCTCATGTTGTAAATTTTAGTTGTAATGGTACTATTTTTATTTGATGCCGTATGACATTCTAAAACCGGGTACACCATAAATTCTTCGTTCTTTGAGAGTGCTTCGATTTCCGTAAACTTTTCTCATGTTGTAAGTTGTAGTTGTAATGTACTTGTTTGAATGTAAGAGCCAACAAGAGGGACATATTGGTGTTGTTTAAGATTCTTATCTGTCTGTCTATCTGTCTACCTGTAACAAATTCGTGTCCGGGTTATATCTAGTGAATAATTTATTGGAATTGATTCAAATTTCAGTATGTTATTGGTTTGTTGTCATAATATGTCATGACCTTTACACAGTGATGTGTCTCAAAGGTCAATGTTGTTGCTATGGGTAATGAGGTGTCCGGACTCAGCACTGGAATCCTTAAATGGAATGAATTCAAAACTTGATTCAAGGTCATATCAAAGAAGTCACTGGCGATGAATTGTCGAACACGTGTCTAGGTTGTAACTTTGTAATGAATAAATGTTGATGCTGATCATCTAAAGGTGTCATGAACCTTATCTCTCAGGTCAAGGTCATGTCGTCAACGTTATTCTATACTGGCCAAGTGTATCTTTGGGGGACATTTGTTTTATTCAAGTTGTTTCTTTGATTTTGAAACGTTGTGTGCATCTTACATAACATCAAACAAATCTATGTCCCTATTTGTTAACGACAAAATCCCTTTCTAATTTGTCGCTTTGCTTATTTGTTTGACTCCGATGTCGTTAAATTTCAGTACGCGACAATACACAAACGGCCAAAGAATGGGGCAGTCTTCCGTTCAGAGTTACGACGTTACATTAGGGAGATCAAAACGAAACGTGTAAATTGGAATCTATTATGTATACTTCTGTATAAATTATGCTCTTTGACGTTATTCTCTACATAGCTATTATCAAATCAATTTGATCATAAACCACTTTTTTAAGAGAAGACTTCTAGAAAACTAATTACCCAGAAATTACGTTTGGTTGATTGTCTTTTTAGCAATATTATTAAAACATAGGGACATATAAGCTAGGGAAGGAACTAGACATTACATACATTTTTCATAAAATTGGTTTACAATCTGAATAAACATCCAGAGACAAATAAAATAATCAAATATACATGTCTATTAGGCTACATAAAATTGATGTTACGATTGTAATTCCAGGTCTGGTAACCTCTAACAATAACTATTTTAACTGTAAAATTCAGAAATTGTTTTCGTATCCGATTTTCACGTTTATTTGTTCGTCAAGACCATTCAGAGCATATTACTCTCTCTCTCTCTCATTGTATTTTCCGTTGTTTTGGCTTGCACAGTAGTTTTTTTTTCTTTGTTGGAACAAATTTTTCTTTCGCTGAGAACAGAATTTAAAAAAAGAAAAGAAAAGAAAATTCACTCCCCCCCCCCCCCCTTAATTTGGAAGAGGAAGAGAAGTGTTATGAGACTTAACTATGTTAGTTGTTTAGTGGTACTGCTCAAGAGAAGAGAAGTAAAAGCTAGGCTGAGGGAGATAACACCATATAAATGGAATTTAACAAGAGTTCAGTGTTGATGAATACCGAAGATTTGTGGGCCACTTTTGCATGGAATCATGAAGTTTCTCTCTTACAGGTCTGTAGGAAGCAATGTCGGTTTTTTTTTTTTTGGAGGGGGGGGGGGGGGGCATCCAAACATTTTCAGAGGAGCTACCACACAAAATTCATTGACAGAAAAAAACCAAAAAAAAAAAAACAAACAAACAAAAAAACATCAAACGTTATTATCTAGGGGAAACATCCATAATATACTTTTTTATTGTATACTATAGATCGGCAAATTATTGCCCCCCCCCCCCCCCCCCCTTCTCTCCCCCGGTTCCTACGGGCCTATCTTAGAACGGATGTTATACAAAATTTACTTTTTAAATAGAAAGGAAGTATAATTTTACGGAAAATCTGTGACCTTCATGACAAAATATCAAAGCACTGTGTGATCTTGTGAAAGCATTCTTTTGTACACAATAAATCTACCAGTACATATGACTTCATCGTCTGATTACACTCCTTTCCACCATCTTGTGTTTAAGAGAAAGAAATATCAAAGCTTTGATATACGTTTGTTCAAAGGCTTTACAGGTGTGATAAAACGGCAGGTAAATATCTATACGACAGAAAGTCGAGAAAAAACAAGACTGAGAAACTGTTACCATCAAACGATTACGCGCTTTGTGGTGTTGTAAACATGAGATTTACTTGCTTTGTTCCACAACCCGACAAAGTTCTTCACACAAACTTATATAAGTTGATTAGCAAGCACTTATTGCACCTAAAACCATCTTTTTGGGGGAGTCTGGGGTGGTCGAAGATGTTGCAACTTGCTTTCTTAGGTGGTAAGGGCAATAACTCGAAGGGAAATATCAGCATTTAGATCAAGGAAATCTGCAGAAAAAAGATTAATACAGCTCTAGCTAATAACCTCAGGGTCAGTTTCTAGTAAAATAAAATGGTGGTTCCAATGGTAAATTCATAATCAATTACTAAACACCATACAAATGATCTTTTTGTTTTTCATTTATTTATATTACATGTAATTATTTCTATGAATAGTTGATTCATTCACACAAGTACATACATGTATGTATAAACATATATAAAACACTGAAACTATTTGTACCATTATAATTATTTACAACACTTCTGGAATAACTTTCGTATAATTGTACAGTATCTGGGACTTAAATCTAAGGACAAGATTGAATATAAGATTAACAGACAAACTGCACTAATTAATATTAATTGCCTGTGGGCAACACTTGATCAAAGGATACAATAAAATACATTTAAAAATAACAAGGAGAAGAGAAGAATTCTATTAAGAATGCAAAGTGAAGCATTAATCAATTAAGAATTTTAATAAGAAAAAATGCTCAGAGGGTAATATTTTTAAAAGGTAAAATAGCTATAACCTAAAGCCCTTGACAATTCATTCATCACCTGCCAAAAGATCAAACATAAAGCAGACCTACATTATTTAATACAAATACTCATTCTCTCATTCTTCACAACCACTTTATATTTAACACCCCACTACCTATTTTTTTTTTAAAATATAAATCCAAAAGAATTTCAGAAGTGTTTTACCTCAGCTATGATTTTTTTTCTTAAGTCCAGCCCTGTAACATGATATCTAAGTTGTATATAAGAGGACAAACTTTTGAACTTCCATCCTCACAACATGATAGAAATGTTTAAAATTTGTTCCAAGCAATTTTGTTTGTATTTAGTCAGATTTTATAATTCACAGATTAAAGTTACAAAAACATATAACTTTGGTAATCTTGTAATGGCAATATGATAAAAATAGAAATAACAATAATGAAAAACAGCAGCTTCCATTGATTTGTATACAAAAATTTCATTCTTGAACTATACATTACTAAGAGTAGTGAAAAATCTACATAAAAAGTATACGTATCAGGGAAAAATCCTGACCCTAATGAATGTTAATAATTACAACAGCTAGCTCATCACATCATAAGAATACATTTTGCTGCTATTAAGAGAAGGTTAACAAGTGAAATCAATGTTGGGAATGATGGACAGTGGTCAACTGACGAATCAAGTTGTTGTATCCCTCTGTAGAAGATATGGTCAACAAGAAATATGGGGCAGTCTGAGAGATCACTTGACATTCAGAATGGTGTTGTCCAGGACCATCTCAAGGAACTGGGAAAAAAAAAGATTTGACATGAAAACTTTATAGAACAATATAACATTAACAAGGACTTCCTCATCAAATAGAGAATTGGGGTGAAAAATACCCTAGCTCAACAAAATAAAGTATTAAAACTATGGTGAAACATGCCCCAGCTTAACAAAATTAAGCAAATTATGGTAAGAAATGCCCAACCTCCAAATTAAGTAAACTATAGTGTTACACGCCCCAGCTCAACAAAATTAAGTAAACTATAGTGTTACATGCCTCAGCTCCAAATTAAGTAAACTATAGTGTTACATGCCCCACCTCCAAATTAAGTAAACTATAGTGTAACATGCCCCAGCTCCAAATTAAGTAAACTATAGTGTACGTTATATGCCCCAGCTCAAACAGAATTAAGTATACTTGGTGGTATATGTTCCAGCTCAACAAAATTAAGTAAACTATGGTGACACATGCCCCATCTCAACAAAATTGAGTATATTGACACATGCCCAATCTCAACAAAGTTATGTAAACTATGGTGACACATGCCCTGGCTCTATTAAATTTGGGGAGCCGATAGGGCCATCTAAAAAAAAAGTTTGCTTGCCCTCTCCTGACTCAGGATAAAAACTAGATGTGTTTGTGAAACACTGATGCCCCCATATGGCAGCTCATGGTCAAGTTAAAAGTTAAAGTTTTTCAAATGTAAGCCAAATTTCAAGGTCAAGAGGTAAATGTTGTTGGTACCAAAAGAAATGTCTACTCATAAGGAATATACATGTGAAGTATGAAAGTCCTAGCACCAACAATTCATAAGTTATGGCCAAGGTTAAAGTTTTTCAAAAGTAGGTCAAGGTAATAATGTAAAAAATGTTGGTACCCAAAAAAGGTCTTGTTATAAGGAATACATGTGTGAAATATAAAAACCCTCGCACCAGCTGTTCAAAAGTTATGACCACGGATAAAGTCGTTCAAGAGTAGGCCAAACTCCAAATTCAAGGTTACAAGGTCAAAAACAATGGTACCAAAAGAAAGGTCTTGTCACAAGGAATACATTTGTGAAATATGTAAACCCTAACATCTACCAATCAGAAGCTATGGCCAAAGTTAATGTTTTTCAAAAGTAGATCAAACTCCAAGGTCAAGATTTGGGTACCTGAAGGAATGTCTTGAAACAAAGAATACACATGTGAAATACAAAAGTGGCTTTAGCTCCAACCATGTTCAAAAGTTATGGCCAAGGTTAAAGTTTCGTAAAATCTTGCAAAAGTAGGTCAAATTCGAAGGCCAAGGTCAAATATTTTGAAACCAAAACAAAGATCTTGTCACAAGGAATAAACCTATGAAATATAAAAGCCCTAGAATGAACTGTTTAAAATTTCAACAGATAAGGTTGAAGGTTGGGCAAGGTTGAAGTTTTTTCAGACTGATCAAAAGAATCTTCAATTATGGGGACATAAAAAGAATTGGTATATATAAGTAAGGGAATTTTTTCCCCAGAAATTGTCAACATCAATAATTATTTTTCAAAATTTAATGAAATTGAAGGTATTAAAAAAATTTAAAATAGTTGTTAACAGGATAAGAAAATTCCAAAATGAAAAAAAATTGTTTCCTGAATGTTCAAAAAAAAAAGTTTTGAGTCGGGCCATTTTTAGCAAGTTGGTTGGGAGAGGGCAAACAGACAATTTTTCAAAGATGGCCAGAGCTAATTCTATTTCTATGGTCTCTTTGATCTCTTGTTAACTTGGAAAGCTTCACTCCAAACAACACTGAATTGATAATTAATGCTAAAGTGTCTGGATTACTTCCCCTACCCCCATTTTTTTTTTTTTTTAAAATATGAATTGATAACTTTTCTTTTACATAAACTGAATCATATTTATAGCAAACTGCTAGGAACAGTCAAAATTGGTTCACCAATTTTGCAAGTCATAACTTTCACTTTTATTATAATAATATTTTACTACATAGTGACAAAATATGATGGTATTATATGTGTAAGGAGGAGTTCAAAATGTTTATTGTATTGTAACTTTAATACTGTTAATACAGTATGCTCGTACTTCAATCTGAAGAGAGAATATTTATAGACATTTTCAGCTGTAGTTCAATTCCTTAATCATTAGATCAGAATACAATACTTTGGTCATCATACTGTATTGCTTCTTTAAAAGCATTCTATGGTCAAACCTCCTTATTTCAAAGTTGGTGGGGCTGAAAAAAACTTCAAGATATCTGGAGATTCTAGATATCAGGGTTAGGAAAAGGAGCAGTTGGAACCTCCAACAAACTTCAACATATGTATGGTATTCAAGATACTGTATGTGTACTTAAAAAAGCGGGCTTCATATTTTAGCAGCTTTGGCGCAGACAACAATGCACTAATTTTAGAATACCGCTATCACTTATATATATACAATATACGGCACAGACCTGTGTAGCACTAATTCATGATTATGCCAACAACTCCATACCCAGAGACTGCGCTAAATTTTGAATATGCCAATATATGTACACGTACAGTATTGATGTTAGAGATACCAAAGCTGAACTGTATAACATGATAAAAAAGGGTTTTCAAAATATACCTCATAGAAGGGTGAACTGACCAGATTATTAGTGTCTGGATTATTAATGAGAATTTTCACTTTTAAAATGATTTTTTCTTAAAACATTGTGGATGGACAGTGGAACTAAAAGAAATTACTAACATACAGCATATCCAACTTAACATTAATTGGGCAGTCAAAAAAACCACACGGTACACTTAATACTGTGTCACATATGATACTGATGAAAATATGACAGACTATACATCATTGCTTCTCTATCAGAAAAATGAAATGAAAGGGGCATAACTTATTTTACCATATATCTAGTAGTGACAGTGATTCAGCCCTGATACAGGTATATCAGACCAGGTGAGACAGCTTCTGGGACCTAGGGTTCTCTCACCCTTGGGGCCAAATATCACTGTCTCAGACCCTTGTCAAGGTGCTGTCTAACCCTCAAACCATTATTTTTGTTTAATTTGTCTGATTTAACAGTAAAATTTGTATTAGCATGTTAAAGAATATATTTTGTGAATGAAATAAGATCTGAATTTTTCAAAATGATTTATGCTAAAATATTGAGAAAACTGTTTTTAAAAAGTGCACCAAATGATGGTACTTGTGACGTAAGAGAGGTAACTTTTGTTTACTTAGAACATCAAACAAAAAAATGAATGTTTTGTTTTGACAGTACAATACTGAATTTTCTCTTTATATATGTGTCATTTCTTAGTTTAATATATATTGTAAACAAAACAATCAGTTACTATAAATCTTGGGCCTTGTTGTTGCAACCGGCTTGATTCAAAGTGAAAGTAGAGCTACCTAAGGTTTGGAACCTTTAAATCTTTGTTATCTAATGTACTCTGGAAAGTAACATGTTTCAAGACACTTGAATAATCTTTTTAACAACAAACCAGGCAAATTCTTTTTCTGCATGATAAATTATCAAGCAATATCTTTACCTACTTGATGAATATTGAAAACAAAGAAAAATAACTTTAAGTCTTATATTATTTTTTTTGCCACAGAATATTTTTCTCAGTGGGAAAAAAACCCATCATGTTTGTTGTTTTATTGCCTTTGGTTTTAGATATATGATATAAACAACATCACATCACTGTTTTGATCTCCTCCCTGGTATCAGCCCTTGGATGGTCTTGGCCCACGCCCTCTGGATACCAACCGCTTGGGGTGATACCAGGGCCAAGATCAAAACAGCAGTGTGATTTTCTATATAAAGCCAATTTATTTTATTATACTTTCATGTTAAATACTAAAATCTGATTGGTTTAGAAACATTTAACAATCCGTAATGTTACCCTCAGCGTTAGCAACACACTTGACAACGGGTAACATTACGAAAATATCACATGCGTTCAAATCATGCGCGTACGGTTCACCGTAGAATTCTCAAAACGTTGGTTGTGCGTTTGAAAGAAGCCGAATAAACGATGTCAATAAAAGCTTGCGTCCGATGTAGCTTACTTGAAAACAACAAACGACAGACGAAACATCCTTGTGAGTGCAAACTTTAGATGATAAAGGACTTTTTGAGTAGGAAACAAACAATAGAGAGGTTGGTAAATCTTTTCTGAAGCTTTCTTATTGAGAAAAATAGAAGCAGGGAGTTTGAAAGCTTTCTAAGCGTGAACTTAACGTGATCTCCGAATTTTTTTTTGACATCTCAAATCAATAAGACATTCAGTATAATAAAATAAATAGTGCATGTTTTTGAGGGTAACAGTTGAAATTGACACCCTTCGGTGTCAGTTGACAATGGTTTTCCTTGGGGTGTCAATTTCAACTGTTACCCTCAAAAACGTGCACTATTTACATAATGTGTTCCTGGAATTAAATGTGCAATGTCTGTTGGACAAACTATTTAAGGTAAAGATCTAGTAAATGAACGGAATCTACAGATTTCTTAATATGAAAAATGAAAGAATGAAGGCGTGCAAGGCGCGGATGATCCCCCGCTCTGAGAGAGGACATTTTTCAATTCTAAAAGTTCATGAAAAGTTATATTTTATCAAAAATTATATTGTCAATAAAATCTTTTACACATTTGTTTCCTATATTTTGTTGAATAAATTATTGACAAATAATTTATTTTTCACAAATGTTTTTAAGGTATGTGAAAAAGAAAAAAAAAAACTTCATGCATGATTCGAACTCTCTCCAAAGCTCACGGTTAGGTGTAAGACTGAATGCGTTAACCACTATGCTAAAAAGTCTGCTTGTCTTTTTTGATGTCAGTGTGATTTAAATAAACGAGTTTGTTGAAGTGTAAAATTTTTTCAGAAATGTTTGATTTTCGTATAGAATGGGTTCAGACTCCATTTTTTGGAAACATGAAATAGATTTTACATTTACTTTTCTGTCATATTAACGTTAATGAAGAATGGAGACTTCACCATTCATATTCAAAAATCATATTTTTATGGCTCTAATAAACCCTTTTTCCACTAAATATGCTTTACTGTCAACTTTTAAAACAAATTATCGATCAAAAAGTCATTCAATAAAATAACTGGATCAAATTTGTTGACGATGACATTACGGAAAACATTATTTTAGAAAACTATAACTTTTCCGTGAACTTTGAAAATTGAGAAATATATTGTCCCAGAGCGGGGAATTGTCCTCGCCTAGTACGCCCCCTTTCTTTTATGATTGCTATTGAAATTTTATGTATTCCTTCGATGCTTAATATTTAGAGCTTGGTCAAATAAGGTGTAGTGTGGCATCATTTTATGTAATCACATTTAAAAAAAACTTTTTATCAGTCATTTTCAATGAAAATAAGTCAGAAATATTCCAGTTTTCAATTTGAAATCATGGGAAAAGAAGTACAGATGCCCATATTCATTTATTATTTGAAATAAGAGGCCAAGAAGATATAAATTACTGTATCTTCTTAGAGTCTGTAGGCAATCTGGATCTGGATTTTCCCATATCAGGGAAATAAAATGTATCCAGATTGCCTACAGTCTCTAAGAAGACAGTAATTTATATCTTCTTGACCTCTTATTTCAAATAATAAATGAATATGGGTATACATACTTTTTTTCTCATGATTTCAAATTGAATTCCATGAAAATCCTTCATTTTCTACATAATTCCTTTTAACTAAGAAGTACAGGATAAAGAAAGTTTAACCTAAATATGATGTCATACACTGTAATGGATCTAGCACCAAGATGCCAGTCTAAACTCATTTATTAGATCTTTACCTTAAGTATATTAAGTGGTATATAGTTCATCAATGGATAGTTACATATTAAAATTCCAGGAAACCCTGTATTTTTAGTGTTAAAGCTTACATCTTCATAGCTAATGTTTATAACTCCTCTTTGTTGCGTGTCCTTCACCCTGAATTTGTCTGTGAGAGTCTTTAACATCACACAGGCCTGAATGAAGTCATCAAAGTTGATGTTCCTGGCACCCCGGCGATCAAATACTCTGACTACAGTATCACAGAACTGCGGAGAACTGAAATTACAATAATTAAAATTGTTTTCTTTGTATGTTGTAAATACCTTGGGTACCTTTTTTCACCTGTATTTAGTGACTTTCTATTAAAATTGCTTGTGTCAGATTAATCCTTCAGCACTGACTTAATTAATCTGTGCTTTATTAATGATGAGACGTGTGTGCTGAGTCTGGGCCAAGTCTTTAAATAGCAGCAGGTAATTTTGCAACAGGGACATAACTCATGTTGTCATTAAACATTGCCTCTGGAGATATACACATTGTGAGCAGTATGAATGCATCAGAATCACTTTCTTAAACACAATGACGTAAAATTAATCTGTGACCAAATGCAGCTTAACAGACATTCCTTCAATATTACTTAGCTTCAAACTTAGTGCTAGTAATTATTAAGTTGCCTTAGATAGTAATATTTCTTACAGGTTATAACCGAATGTCTGGAAGGCAGTATGGAGTTCTCTAGCATCGATGTTTCCTGATCGATCTGTATCAAACCTGTAAACATGAATAGCACAATATCAAATTCCCTGTTACAGCGGTAAACATGAATAGCACAATATCAAATTATCTGTTACAATCGTAAACATGAATAGCACAATATCAAATTCCCTGTTACAACTGTAAACATGAATAGCACAATATCAAATTATCTGTTACAGCTGTAAACATGAATAGCACAATATCAAATTCCCTGTTACAGCTGTAAACATGAATAGCACAATATCAAATTCCCTGTTACAACTGTAAACACGAATAGCACAATATCAAATTCCCTGTTACAGCTGTAAACATGAATAGCACAATGCCATATTTCCTATTACAACCTAATACATGTAGTATGTACTTATTTTTCTCTACATGTAAATGTATCATCATAAAACGTATTCATACAGCTTAAATTAACAATTCAAAAGAAAACATGTTAACCTCTAATTTTGAAGAGGAAATTGTTATATTTTAAAATACAATACAAATTTTAATGAGGATATTCTTGTCTAAGAAAAAAATGTTCATGAACTGCAATTTGAAACATTGATTCAACTGCACAGAGAAATTTGAGATGTTTGATAAATCATAAAGTTTTATCAACCTTTCGAAGCAAGCTTTCCAATCTTGGATATATTTCCACAAGGCTGCAAACTCTTGCGCATCAATTGTTCCATTTCTAAAAAGAATATTTTTAAAATAATACTTCATAAACAAAAATTTAACATACAGAGTTAAAAAATACAGTGTTCTTTAGCTTTCCTAATTCCAAAATATCAACAACAACAAAAAAAACAACAACAAAAAAAAAAACAGAAAAAAAGAAGATAAATAACTTTGCTATTTAGTGAAAATTGCATATTCTAAAAAGGAAAAACAATCCTTTTTCCTGATAATTTTATCTACAAATCAGAGTAGTTTCATTGACTGATAAATTGTCTCCAGTGGGTCATTCAAAGAATCAGTTAATTTAACTGTCCATTTCCTAAGAGAAAGTGTCACATTTTGAACTTTCCAATGAATCTATGGACTAATTGTATTGTCTTTGGTATCATGACAATTGACCTTGGTTTTGAGGGTCTCATACACAAACAGAATCATGACAGGTCCATCACACTGAATGTCTAACTCTGTTCAACATTGTAATTCAGAATAGGCCAGGCTAAGCTATATATTCTCGATAAGAATATCAATGTTTTTTTTTATATAATAATCTTTTGGATTCTCATCCTTCTTGATCTTAAAAAAGAATTGAAGAAGGAGAGTAAAATTCAAGATTTATAATTTATTTTTTTCCAATAGTTAATAGGTGTTAAACAGCTGAAAGACTGAAAATTTTAATTATTCTTATATCAAAAACTATATATTTAATTGTGTTATTTGTCCTCTAACTATACTGTTATTAAAAAAGCAAAAAGTGCTAGCTGTGTACAAAACAAACCTTAAACTTTAATTTCTGAACAGAAATGAATTAAAAGTATATATATATATATATATATATATATATATATATATATATATATATATATATATATATATATATATATATATATATATATATATATATATATATAATTATGTATCAGAGAACAACAAACAATCCAAAATTTTATCAAAAATAAACAATCATTATAATACAACCTGGCTGACCCAGACTGGGAACAGGTTCTATAAATTAATTTTATGCTAATTTATAATTAGCACATAATTAACAATACAGTTTTATAATAATAATGCTCGGTTTTAATAGTTCAAAGATCTGCAACAACAAGAGAATCTGAAACAAGACTAAAATTAGAATAACATCATCATATGGGTAACCTATCAAATCTAGGACGTGTACATACGGTATATGTAGCACCTATGACAGGGTAGTGAATGACATGTCTGAATCTATGATTTTTCAACATGTAGTTTAAAAATATATTCATGCAATAACTAATCATTTGATGTTTTATAAATGCTCTTTTGACTGATATTCAATAAATAACAGCTCATCCACAACCTCATACGAAGCAGAAGTTTGTGGTTCCCTTTCATTTCCATATGAATTCTTGAAAATCTATTTAACATAGATTTTCAATGATTGGCTTTACTGTTTCAAATTTTTTTTCATTTTTTTTCTAAAAATTTTACTTTAGGAATGATCATGGGCACATCTAAAGGTTCACAAGAAATTTGTCAACTCACTTGTTTCGATCAAACATGCCAATCATGAGTCTACAGGTCTCTGGGTTGACTGGAGACCAATTGCCATTCATTAGAGCAAACTGGAGCTCTTGAGCACTAATTTGACCAGATCTATCTTGATCTACTGCCTACAAATAACAACAACATTGTCATGCACATTATCAGGTGTATAAACTCACTTGTTATGATCAAACATGCCTATCATTAGACGACATGTTTCAGGGTTAAAAGGTGACCAGTTTCCATTCAATAATGCTCTCTGAAGCTCCACAGAAGTTATCTTTCCTGATCTGTCTTGGTCTACTGCCTAAATTAAATAACAATTGTTCATACAATATTCTTATTAAATGATAAGAAAAATACTGAATCTTACAATAGTGAAATTTTTAAAAATATTTATGATTATATTACCATAGTTAAATGAAGCCATTTAAAATAGAATTGATACATGTATAGTAATTCATCAATTCACAAATACAAAGTCCTGATAATTTTTTCTTCAATGTAAGAAAAAAAAACTATTACTATTTCAATCAATTCTGTTCAAAGGATAAAACAAGGGGATATTTGTGCATTGTTAATAAAGAGGCCAAAAAACAGGTTTGGGAACAAGAGAGACCTGGTAGGAGTTGTTTTGAAGAGGGACCCTCCACAGAAAACTTTTTTTTCAGAAATTACTAGATGTTCTTTCACATTTTTAATTTGATTACATGTATTTTTTTCTTCAACTGAAGAGTACATGTATTGTTACTAAAGGTAAGAAAAACTTAAGGGAAGAAAAACCATCAAATTTTCTTCATTTATATTTGTGAGTATAACTTAATTTTACTACAAATAAAAAATGAGATTTTAAAACTTTAACAAGTTAATTCAAAACAAATGTCTTAGTTCAAAAGTACAGTGTATTCTAGTATAAAGCACTTAGTGTTCATACCTACAAAACCTCCCAGTTTGCTCTGAGGGTTAAGAAAATTTTTAAAAAGCATCTGGAGAAGGTTGGTTCCTAATGTGCATGTTTGCTTGCTTACATACCAATTAATAAATTGACTAACTAAACATAAATACTCAGACAGGAATTGAATCCTTATACTGGGTAACAGCAAACCTGAAACATGTTCCACACTTCTTGACTGACTCCTGGAGGTGGGGGTGGGCCATACCCTCCAGGTGGACCCCCAGGACCAGGACCACCATACCCCTGGGGAGGGGGTCCACCATACCCTCCATATCCAGACTGTTGAGGTGGTTGCTGGTAGCCACTTTGTTGGTATCCTCCTCCACCATATTGAGGGGGAGGTTGTCCATAACCTGATGGTCGCTGTTGTTGATAAGGTGGAGGGGCACCATATCCTCCACCACCAGGGGGAGCTGATGGGTTGTATCCTCCACCCTGTGGTTGTCCATAGCCACCCTGTTACATAAAATACAAGACTATCTTTAAAAATATGTTTTTATCACTGCAAATTTTTAGTACAGGATTTCGGATCTGTACATATATATGCACATCCCCCTGCCACAGTACAGGCACTTGTTTCATATATGGGGGCACCCCCTTTCTTTTCTCAATACCTAACTCAATTTCAATCAATCATTAACCTACTTTAAAATGACATTGTTTGCTTCGAGAGACTTAAATCATTTCAGACGTCTCTGGTCGAGCCTCTTTATTGTAAACCACTCATTTATTCCTTAAAAATTACCTTGATACATTTTAAGAGGCTAGATGAGATATAGGAACTTCCAGTTAGGGTTGTAGTGTACGATAAAACCAAAGACCTCAGAATGGAAAACTCAAATGTCTCTGGTTTTATCCTACATTTATTATCCCAACTGGAAGTTCTTGTATCTTGTCTAGAAACAAAAAATGTATTGATGTAATTTTCCAGGAATAAGTGAGTGCATGGTTTACAATAAAGAGACTCAGCCAAAGACATCTAAAACAATTTATTTGACCAAAAAGTCTCTCGAAGTGAATGATGTCATTTTAAAGTGGGTTAATGATTGATATATTAACAAAATACAAGCCTGAAATTGAGTTAGGTAAGGGGGTGTCGGTGACCAGGCCCATATATGAAACAAGTGCCAGTGTCCCCATGTGATCAGAACACCAGCTAAAATGGTGAAGAATTCCATTGATAATTTTCTTATATACTTATGCCATAAACTATATTAATCTCATCTTTTAGATTTTATCACATTTCCTTATCAATAAATCCGCTTTCAAGAAATTGAAAGTAGTTTCCCTTCATGATCAGTTACACTTACATATTGAGGTCTTGCACCAGGCGCTCCCCAGGACATCTTAAATCTTATGAAATAAACTTGTATGTAGTGATGGTATCAAACTTTATATATACACCAACGTGTAATTTAAAAATGATTCATCCTACGACTATACATCAGATAATTTTTCACTTTCCAAGGTTGATGTTTTGCGTCTCACTTTGCAGAAGAGTTCATCAAAGGTAGATGACTCCTTTTTTCAGCATTGGGTAAAACTAGTTACATGACATAACATATTAGATTCTGAATATAAAAATGTCCTCATAGCTAATATTCGTTAAAGTATTTCATTATTTAAAGACCTTGTACAGTATACATTCCAAGCAAACTCTCACATACAAGACCAGGATCTTAAATGAAACCTTTAACTTTTCTCCTTTAAGCTGATAATTTATGAACATTTTCCCGATAAAATTTACATAAAAGGTTTAAAGGGGCCTGGACAAAGATTTGAAGTTAATAAGTGTATAATAGTAATTTACTGTACATTTTGGAAAAGAACACTTTGATTACTTGATCACTTACTCGTTTTGTAGGCCTTTTTTTTCTTTTTTTTTTCAAAAATTTTTATTGTAAAGTAAAAATCCACTTCCAGTATCACGATTCCAGAATGACGATACGATATGCGTATTGTTTAGACACATGATCAATACGACTGATATATCACTGTATCGTTTCAACTCTATTATTAATGTTTAAGTCTCAATGGGTATGTTCAATTTGTTAAACTCTGCTCACATCACTGAGCATGGACTGACAATACTGGTGAATTGGTTTTGCTTTCTAATATTTCTACTCTGAATTCTCTCGATTATAGTTTCAATATTTTTCATTAATACTCAACAAAATTTCTACTTTTATTTAGTATCAAGGATAAAATTTACTTTGTGAAAGTGCAAGGATGTGTCAAACAAATGGGTCCCAAAATTCGTAGTTTCAATAATTTCAATAAAATAAGTTTTTATTATATTTCCATGTGAAATGCTATAGCAACATATGTCATATTATACAGAAAATTTGAGAAAATATTAATTTCAAATCTGTGCCCAGGCCCCTTTAATCGCATTTTAGAGAATTATAAAATGATACAAATTTCTGTCACTAGTGTGAATGGTGTAAAAATTATAATGATTAAACATGTACATGTCTTTATTTTGATCAGTATTTTATTTGTATACATTTGCAAATTGTTTTCAAGCTTCATAAAGTAATGCTTGCATAAACCAGGGATCTTTAATCTATATAGCTACAACCACTTTCCATATGTTCTCATTTCCTTTAAAAAATGCAGACCTACGCTTCAGAATTAACCCAATGGAAGTTTTCTTATGAAACAAACTTAAACATAAATAAAAGATACATCAAATTTTAAAGATTTTCTTGTTGTAACAAACATGAAAATTTCAATTCAGATTAGTCTCTCAAGTAACCATATATAAACAGCAATTAGCTCTATCTAAACGTACATTGATTTTGGTGCTCCATATATTTTTGCGCCTTTACATTGAGGTTAATTAACTGGTCTGTTTCACACATCTGATTCCCATTGATGGGAAGTACTCATAACAAGATAAAACAAGCTTTAAATTTTTTTATTATCTGCAAAATTATAAATAATCTGTAGTTCTATGCAACGGAGAAGTGGAGACATACATGTCAAAAAATTCTAATCAAATAAATAAAATATTAATATTTATCCTGTTTACATTCTTTGTACAAAATAATTTAACATACATTACAAACCAGAAATATTTCTCAACTCCCATCATACATGAAATTCTAAATCTTTGGATCAAAGAATTTTTTCGGATATAGACTTTAGCTTCAGGTCCAACAAATCAATTTGCCCTTTATACCCAGTCAATAATTGTATATGCATATTTTAATGAGCTAAAATTATATAAATTGAATTACAGAATTTTAATTAGCTCATTGATTTTTTTCAATTGTTTATGAAGATTGAAGTGTGAAAGATAACAATTCATACTAACATATAAATGACAGATTAAATTAAGTACATGTACTTTATGAATGGCTTTTCATTCTGCTTTCATTTACCATGTTTTGAATTCTTTTGGTTCTGACACTGTATTTAAGTACTTCAGATAGAAGAAAAGAAAATATGAATGAATCTTGTGAAATATTTCTGGTTTTAAATGTAAGCATGAGATAAAGTTAATTCACTGGTGACAAAAGAGGTTACACCCCTCCACAAAACATTCCCTGAATTTGTACTTCATACAATTCTAGTGAAGAAAAAGCAAGTCTACTAAAAACTACCTCCTTTAGATAAACAAAAAATGTTTTCAAATATGAAATCACTGATAACATTTGCAACAAATCAACAATAAAATTTAACAATTGGAAAAAAAAAGATAATTGCCTTTTAAAAAGAAATAGGTTGCATATCACACAAAATTACATGGGAAAAATATCTTTCAAAATTCCTTTGCAAGAAATTTAATCACATATAAAATTTATTATAATAATTTTTCCTATTATTTCTAATTCTGTGACACTGAAAAAACATCCAACCCAGAAAAATATAGCATCATGGAGATTCTGTCCAAAGAATTATGCTCCCTTGTTATGTTCATTCTTTCATAAGACAAGCATTAATGCACATGTTGCTTTAAAATGGAGAAAAAAATAAAAGTGCTGAAGTCAAGAACAAAACAATTTAGGCACAATCAGTGGCATTTGGTGTTATGGTTTTGATTTCAATCTAACATTATAGAAATTCTGTTCTGGATTCAAAGTTTCCTTTTCTTGCTGTTTCAATAGAAATCTGGATTGCAGACATTGCTCATGAAGGCGTCCAGCTCCTGTTCGTGAAGTTGTTTGTTACCTGCAGCTGGGGAGGCAGCCGGAAAACGACCCTCATACCTAAAACAAAAGATTTTTATTAATTAAGGAATGTTTTTAAGTTTTGTGTGAGTTATTGGTGTGTAAATCACACAGACTTGTCATGTAGGCATATTTCATGAAGCTCGCTAGCGCTTCATGAAAAATATGCCTACGTGCAAGTCTGTGTGATTTACACACCAATAATTCACACTAAACTTAAAAACATTCCTTATATTTACATTTTACAAGTTTAAAAGCTCCAATAATATACTCAATATTTGAATTTCTTGCTGCCCTATATCGTTACATTTTTATTTATGTCTCTGTAGCCTCATTGTGACGTCACTTTAGCGCGAGTTTCACCATGTATATTTCTACGTGTGAGTATACAAAAAAATGACTTTCAAATCAATTGCACAGTTGGCTTAGTAGAAAAACACAGCAAATGTAAATATTGGGATATGTTTTGTAGTATAAATAGATGTTTTCATGTATTTAAAGTAGGGATGGCAATTGGATACAGAATTGCTAATCCGTTGATCGCAAGACATTCTGACCATTTGTATCAAAATGCACATTTTCTTGACATATTTTTTTTTAAATTAAGCTCTATTCATATTCACGCAAAGAGGAAAAAAAGACAATACTAGTAGCTATGTCCTTCATCTGTGTGATCAGAACACTATACATGTACATATTTTACTTCAATTTAAATAAGCAAGAAAAAATTATAACAAGAGGCCCATGGGCCATAACGCTCACCTGAGTAACTTTGGCCTTGCTGTTTTTCACCTGATCCCCCCATTGTAGTACTTATTGTGGCCCCACCCTACCCCCAGGGGTCATGATTTGACCAATTAGAATCTACACTACCCTAAGATGCTTCCATATAAGTTTCAGCTTTTCTGGCCCAGTGGTTCTTGAGAAGAAGATTTTTAAAGATTTTTCTTATGTATTTCAATGTAAAACTTGGATTCCCTATTGTGGCCCCACCCTACCCCCGGGGGTCATGATCTTAAGAATTTAGAATCTACACTATCCCAGGATGCTTCCACATAAGTTTCAGCTTTTCTGGCCCAGTGGTTCTTGAGAAGAAGATTTTTTAATGACCCCACCCTATTTTTGTCTTTTCTTGATTATCTCCCCTTGTAAGGGGACTTGGCCCTTTATTTTAACAATTTACACTCCCCTTCACCCAAGGATACTTTGTACCAAGTTTGGTTAAAATTGGCCCAGTGGTTCTTGAGAAGAAGTTGAAAATGTGAAAAGTTTACAGACGGACGGACAGACGGACGGACGATGGACAACGGGTGATCAGAAAAGCTCACTTGAGCTTTCAGCTCAGGTGAGCTAAAAACTGAGAAACTGCTTGAGAAGCTGCCTGAGTTTACAGAGACATTTTATTTTTTGAAACCAGATGCCACACAAGTTCATTCTGCATTGTTACTACCACCAGAACTTAAGTCTGAATTAATCTTATTTACAATGTTTGTTTAATAATTTTGATGATAGTAGGGATAGACATGGAAAGATACGCATTCAGTTCACAGTACTCATCGGTTATTTAATTAATATCATTCAAAAAATACATGATAAGCTGGGTAATGACATTCTGTTTTAATAGTAGTTAACACCTCACAAACTGTCCAACTACTCCCAATCTGGAGAATCTTATTTACAGCAAAATCAGCTTAAATATATGTGTGAAAATGCAAAATAATCAATGTTCAGAGATTTTCTTCTGAATTTTTAAGGAAATTGTGTTGATATTTACATATATTTTAATTTTTTCAACTAACTGATTACAGATTTTCCAACCTATTACCATTGTTCCGCATGAGTAATCAGAATTGCCATCCCTAACTTACGAGTAATCCCATTAAAACACATTAAAAAAATGACATTTGATAAACAGTTCATGCCTCCATGATAAAAATATCAGGGAGCATTTTTTTAACCATCTCTTTAAAGGTGCTTGGACACAGATTTGAAGTTAATATTTTCTCAGATTTTCTGTATAATTTCATGACTTATATGTTGCTATAGCATTTCATACTTAAATATAATAAAAATCTTATTTCATCTCGAAGTTATTGAAACTTCAAATTTCTGGACGCGTTTGATTGACACATTCTTGCACTTTCACAATTTTTAATTTTATTCTTAATACTTAAGAAAAGTGGCAGTTTTGTTGTGTATAAATGAAAAGTATTAAAACTATAATCCAGAAAATTCAGAGTAGAAATGTTCGAAAGCAAAACTCACTCACAGTATTGTCAGTCCGTGCTCAGTGGTGTGTGCAGACTTTAACAATTGAACTCACCCGGTGAATCGTAAACATTAACAATAACAGAGCTTGTGCCCTGTTTACAGAAACAGTTTACGTTTCACGGGTGTATTCAATTTGTTAAACTCTGTACACAACACTGAGCACGGGCTGACAATATTAGTGAGGGGGTTTGCTTTCGCACATTTCTACTCTGAATTTTCTGGATTATAGATGCAATGTTTTTCATTAATACAAAACAAAACGCTTCTTTTCTTAAATCTAAAGGATAAAAATAAAATTTGTGAAAGTGCAAGGATGTGTTAATCAAACGCATCCAGGAATTCGTAGTTCCAATAATTTCCAGATAAAATAAGTTTTTAATTATATTTTCGTGTGAAATGCTATTGCAATATATAAGTTGTGATATTATACAGAAATTTTGAGAAAATATTAACTTCAAATCTGTGTCTAAGCACCTTTAACTGGTAACCTTTGCATACCTAAAGACCAATATCAGACCAATATCAACAAATCAAAGGTGGAAAATTAAGTTGTAAAGGAGGCTTCATATCTGAGTGAGGTAACATACCAAGGTCAGTTTTCAAATTAAAAAACTGTCATCATTGCAGAATTGTGTTTAAGGACATTGGCAAGTCAGGGTTTTCCAGAGAAAAAAGGTTTAATACATGGGTTTTTTCACTTATAAAATAGTGATTGAGAGTGATCTCCCGTGTAGAATTCTCTAAGCGGTGAAAACCAATAAAGCGTATGTTACAGAGGTAAACATAAGCACGTGTACCTCCCTCAATGGGTAGAATCATCTATACAGCAAGAAAGAAAAGCTGTAATGGCTTTGTTGTACATTATATTCAGGGACAAAGAGCCAACAGGTCGTTATTTACCATAGTTATGCTCAGTTTGCTTGGAAGGGCAAAGATGTGACATATGCTGAAAGGTACAGTAGGTCGACCATGCCGACTGAGAACAGTTCTTAGGTCGTGTGAAGGAATCAGCATTTAGTAACTACGAATAAAAGTTGAAAATAAATCCATGACAATATTTTTATGACAATGTGTTTCAATTCAGTCAATTACATGATAAAAACAATCAACCAGTCTCTTGACCAATTTTAGCTGTAAAGGGACGCAACTCAAAAATGATGATCGATGCCGGTATATCCATGTCTTGTTTCTATATATACATTTTCTGCCAAAATATCTAGAAGTCATAGGAAATGAAGATACAATAATGCATATAATACAAAAACTGTATGAAATAAATGGGTTTTGAAGAAATATTATGGTGAAAAATTATGTAGGTCCCTTTTATCAACATTTTACATAGGAAATGCATTAAGAATTGTGAAAACACTAATTTGACAAAATCTAAAAAAGAATGTTGGATTGGTAGGTTAAACGATCAAGAATATGGCCTGTTTAGTACATTTAAACCTACTCAAAAGTTCTTGAAAAATTCTATACAATAACCAGGAACCTTGCCAATGTCCTTAACAAATACAATTTATTTTCATATAACTACATAAATAATATATAATTTAGTTTCTTATTGAATTCATCATCAAATTTAAATTTCAAACATCAATGATGCAGAATCTTACATAACTAAAAATTCAGGACTGCAATGTGACAACTTACTTCACTTTTTCATCTTTTCCCATATTCATCAGAAGATGACGAAGTCTGGGTTCCACGTACTGGAATGCACCCATATTTTTATGCTCTTCTTGAACCCAAGAGATGCTGGCATTAGGGTATTTAGCAATCTCATCCCGAATCAAATCATAGGGGAATGGAGAAATCTAGAGGGTGGAATAAAAATTCATAGTCTTTAATAATGAGAGAGAGAGAATTCTGTCCAGGCATAGTGTACACATATAAATAATTTTAACTTAAAACATATGGGTAATTTTCAATGTTTTTTTTTTTTTTTTTTTTTTTTTTTTATACATGTATTCTGATAACAAATGTACTTTCACTTTAACATAATCCAGGAATATGCAAAGCAGCCACACTATCAGCTACACTGACAACACCAACATGAAAGATGAGTGACATTTTGACAATCTAACAATCAATAATCTGTTTCTTTTTTTAAATTACCTGTTCAATGCGTACAACAGCGACCTCACTTTCCTTCTCAGTCACTTTTCTGGTTTTGGCAATTTCGTAGTACACCTTTCCAGTACAGAACACCAATTTGTTAACTCCCTCTGGATTCTCTGAGGCTGGTCCAGTGTCTGGAATAATTCTCTGGAATTCTGTGTCCCCAATCATGTCATCAAAAGATGACCTGGCTTCAGGGAGACGAAGAATGGCCTTTGGGCTCATAACAATCAGCTGAAATAATATTTATCACTTACTGGTGACATATGAGTTAGAGTATGAAATCAATACTGTCTGATGGGAAAATACCTCAGTAGTTTTGGGACTCACTCTAAATTTTGTGATTGATCATTGATCAATGGATCATCGGTCAATGACCGATTAAAAGTCTTGATCATCTTCAATCTTAAAGGTATTTACAAAAAAAAAATTATAAACCTTTAACTAAGACCTTGTTCACTCCTGTATATATTTTATTCTTTAAACAGATCAAGCATTAACAATGTGAAGGATTTCTTCACCCTTCATGTCCACCATTGCTTAATACAAATGGTTACCATTGATTTGTAACTGGATATCATCTGAACTGTGATTGGACAGAATACATAGGGAAATTTAATCAACAAAGT